AAAGCAAGCATCCACTTAAAACTGGTTAGCGGAAAAGAAAGAGACTTTGCATATTCCAGGATATCATGAGCAAAATCCCATCTGCATGTAAAAAAAAACATCTGCCTCACTCCCATTAAGGAGATGCGTATATAAAATGGACCATAATCTCTATAAAAACACTTTGGATGAGAAAATTTATTTTTTGGCATTAAATATTAAAAGAGAAAATACCACCAAAAAATATTTGCTTTTCCGTTACTGACACTCATCCAAGATGGTGGCTTTAATATTTATTTAGAATTATTAAATATTTTAGAAAAAAAATTAATTTCAGCTGCAAATGTGATCCAAATGTGGATCATGCGGCACTTTTAGTTTAAGTAAAAAACAAACAAAGGCAAAATAAAATGAATAACCAAGGCTCTAAAAGATACATTGAGGTTTTGAGAAAATGAAACGAGCAGTCCGAGGAAGAAACTAAACATCATTTTTAACATTGTTACCTTCCAGTTATATTCAACAGTCCTTGGCATTTTTTTAGGTTGCAGTAACTAGGATAAGCACAAGGAAGGAACAATTTGATGAAAAATATAACAGTCCTGCTCCATTTCTCCAATGTAACTTGGAGTTTTGTTTTCCATTTTGTGACAGGAAGTAGTCATGTATAAACTATTTGTCAAAGCTATGGATTAAACATAATAATATTGTAAACAATGTTTAATATCTTGCACTAACCTCTTATTCATACTGAAGGTAATAGTATTGTCAGCAACGTTCAGTTTGTTGCCCATACCAATCATTTCAATTCATAAAACCTTGATGCATCATCTGGAGCCATGGGTATTATCTTGGTTTCTCCAGGTAAAAGAGTTTTTTTTTTTTTACTCTTAAAGTGAGAGTAGTCATTGACTTTGAATTTCCAAGAACCACGATGTTCACTAAAAGTCTTCACTAATGTTAAAAAATCACCACTTCCATCTTGGATCACTCAGCAAATTAAAATTTTTAAGTAAACTGTTACTATCCCTTTAAAAGTAATTCAGATTGAGACAGTTCACTTTAGCCTTTTCATATTTACGGTCTTCAACTCTCAGTGACCCTTTAGAATGTGTAATGTAATGACTTTGAGGTTGAAAAATGAAGTGCTCCTGCTCCATTTTGCTCTAGAGATCTACCGTACTTCACAGCAGAGTTTAACTGAAACTCTAGCCAAATCATCTTAACACTGTTTAAGCAAACCCATTTCTCCAAACACAGCACTCACTTTGTCACTTCAGTGTATATTTTGTTTGAGGCTTAATTGTCACAGTGTCGTGTGCATCTAGCCATGGTTGAGTCCGTTTGAAGGTTTGGGATTTTTGGAAGAGAAGGAGGTCTGACATTTGGGAAGGAAGTGGTTATAGTTACCCTGGATTTTTGGGTTCGTTTTCTCGTACACCTCCTCCTTTGAGTTTGCGGACTAGTTTCTCGCTGCTGCGCCGGATAGAGGCCCGTAGTTTGCTAAAAGAACCGCTTCGCTTCAAGGAGCCTGAACCGTCCTGTGAACAGAAGACTACATCATTAACCACACATATGCAACCAAATACAGCACATTAGTCAAACAGGGCCCATTCTGACATACACTTAACACACAATCAAGCACAACAAACACTTACCTTGATTTGTGAATGTGCTGAGGTGTATTCATTTTAAAGGCTTTACCCCAAGATTTTAATTCTGTTAACCATCACTCCGTGCCCTAACAACACGCTACATCACAATATTCCAGAGATGTCCACACCAGATGCAACACAACAGATCCATTAAAATACAACAGAAATAAAGCAGTGCAGAATGTACTGTGCTCCAAATGAAATGGATGGGTTTAAGTAATTAATAAGTATTACACCTAAATAACATTATTAAAAGTATATGCTGAGTGATTGCTGTTGTTGATTTGCACTAAATTATAAGCTGTTGTTTTATTTCAAGATTTGAGGTAAACTATCTTCATTATGGGTCTAAATGTCATGTAAAGTGGTAGACAAACTCACACTGGTAACATAAAACACTTAATAAAGCATATAATTGGCATCTGAGGAAGATCTGCATAATTAAACAAAAAAAAAAAAAAGATTGCAAACTCGATTCGACCCCCTAGACCAGTGGTTCTCAAACTGTGGTACGTGTACCACTAGTGGTACGCAAGCTTCCATTTAGTGGTATGCGGAGGAATCGCTGAATAAATAAAGTAAAAAAAATAACAAAAAATTATACGTATGATAACACCGATGTGATCAGTAAATTGATTTTAATAGGCTAAACCTTTTATTTTATTCTCAATTTTCAATGTATTCTAATATTTGTTTTTTTCTATTTTAAATATGGTTATTCATATATTTTAAATACAAGTTAATGTTTAGATTTCAAAGATATACAGATAAGTCATATATACATGCATCATATATTTCAAAATTTATCAAAAAGAGATTATATATGAATATGATGACATTAGGGATTGGATAATATCTTCTTTCAAGGTATACCGCGGTTTGGAAAAGTCAAGGTTTTAAAACCAGCAAAATTTTCTGCTATACCGTTCCTAAGGTACGTGTATGATTTTTTTATTAACATTTTTTTTACGCAGAAAAGATATCCAAAAATACAGTTTTAAACTGTAAAGATATCAGTGTGTTTGAAACTAATGAAGACAGCAGAAGTGAATGATTTATTTTAATTATTTAATTATTATTAGACATGTTTACTGTTAAAATATTTTGGAAATGTTTCTCAAAATAAAATATTTTGTTTTCTTCAGACTTTTAAAAAGAATATATTTTACAGCAATAATCACAATTGCGTCAAATCGCAAAACTGTGATATTTTTATCCAAGGTTATCATACCATCAGAATCATTTTGCACATCATTTAAATAATCCTATCGCATAATAGTTATGACTGCGACGAGCATTTTACATGTTTTTTTCTTGTGCATGAGAATAAATGTTTAACAGTGTCAGTATAACTACTCTTGCCTATATAATGTTGAATATAATGCAAGAGGGAATCTGACAAATGTCTGATTTTACCAGTAGAAAAAAAAAATGGTTTAATAATGTCGTCAGATTGCAAGTATATGTCTCAAACATAATAATTTAACATCAGAATTATGAATAGTTGTATTCTGATGTCATCACTTTACTGTGCATTAATGACCAGGACAAATTTAAAGTCTGTTCAAGTCCATCATTCTACACCACACTACAAAATTAAGCATTTTAACCAACAAAAATACACATAACATTATTGTTATTTTACTATACCTTTGATAATTAACAATAAAAGTAGCCTACTAACATTAACATGTATTTTACATCTAAGAATGAAGAAAATCATGATTTTATTAAGCAAAAATAAATAAATAAATAAAAATCGTGATTCTCATTTAGCCAGAATCGTGCAGCTCGAGTCTGAGTGATCATTGTCATATTAGCTTATGCTGTCATTACAGTCAAGATGTTACAGAAATAAAAACTAAAGTATGCAGGTTCCATAATACTAATAAACAGGATGTATGGCTGAAAATCACAAGTTACAGTCGACTATTGATTAACATTTTTGCAGTGTTTGCAATGCTTTGTACGTCGTTCTTGAGCACTGGTATGGCGTAAATGTGATTTAAACTTTATTAAAGAATTATCTAAAAAAATAAAAAACATTTATTAAAAACTGTACAGAGACTGCATCTACAGAATGTCCATTTCCAAATTGATGAAAAGATTTAGAGTATAACTAGAAAAGTAAAGTTCATAGACAAACTTTATGGTGGCTTGAGAAAGCCTCGTCTGACAGTTTGAAGTCATTTAAAAAAAGTTCAAATAATTGAAGTAGTTTTAGGAAGTTTGAAACCGTTGGCATAGATAAATAACTACATATATGTTAACATATTTCTAGTATTGGCATGTGTCTTGCTAGGTGGTTGGTAGGGGGTTGTGAGTGATTACTAAGGTGTTGCTAAGGGTTGCTAGGGCGTTCTGAATGGTTGCTAAGGTGTTGCTAGGGTGGACTAAGTGGTTGTTAAGATGTTTCTAGGCGGTTGATAGGGTGTTCTGATTAGCTACCAAGCAGTTGCTAAAGCATTGCTTGAGTATTTTGGCTGGTTGTTAAGGCATTGCTAGGCAATTGCTAAGGTGTCCTGCAATGTCAGTTTTTTTACAATACACATCTATGGAACAGTTGCTAGGGTGCTGTAAGTGGTTGCTAGAGTGTGGCTAGTAATTTCAAAGGTCATCAGTGGTTGGCAGATTATTAGTCTGAGTTAAATGAGCCAAAACTTATATCTGTATGACAAAGCTATGAGGTCACAATGTTTGGTCTAATGTTATGTCAATGGGACTTTTAGAAGTTTTCCAGTTCAGTTTTCGGAAAATCGCAAGTCAGATCAGTTGGAAAAGAAATAGCAACCCAAGTCAGACCAGTTTGGAGGTTTGTAGTTTGTTTGGTGGTTGTATGAACAGTCTAGGAGGAGGTGTGTTCTTAATAAAGTCTAAGAAGAAGATGGAAGAATAATACATTTATGTAGTATAACAGTATGTTGGTTTTCTCAAGCAACCATAACTAGATTTACATTTGATGTAGAAAGGTTCATGTAAAACTACTTGAAACTCCTGGATTTTATAATATGTGGTGATCATTTGAACCATTTAATATTCTGTAGATCCCAATACATCTGGTTTCTGTTTTCCAATACATATTGATACAGATCTGCTGCAGTCTCTTCTGCTGTGACCCCTCACCTCTGAACCCTGAGCACTTGGAAAAGCATGGAGAGATTGATGGAGGTGGAAGGAAGAAGAGGGTTGAAGACAACATTGTCCCAGTTAACCTCCATTAAAAAAAGACAAGCAATTACAGGAATCAGCCCAAACACATCCAACTCACACACATATATCAACATCAGGTTTGAATATGTCACAGGAAAAACTCACACATATGCATTCAAAAACAGGTGAAGAGAAAGAGGACACACAGGCAGAGGCTCTGGTGAGCGAAGTCAGTTTTATTAGAAGTTATGAAAGACAAAAGATGCAGCAAAACACCAGTGAACATGTTAGTAGGAAAAAAAAACAAGAACATTAGATTCTACAGACATGCTTCTAATCATCCCGTTACTCATCTCTTTCGCTAGTGTTCAACTAGTGTACATACAAGGGTCTCACAATAATGAACAATATGAAAGTGCGTGAAAACCAGGATTTGGTTTATACAGAAGCTGAACAACAACACCATGCCACATTAATGCACTATACAAAAAGTGTGATAGAGAGGCTTCATTTAGAGAAAGAGCCGTTCTAAAGTCCCCTGCATTACAAGAAATTGAGAGGAACCAATGAAAACCAAAACAACTAGTGTCACAAGTCCTGCATAAGATTAAAATGTCAGTCAATACAAGATATGCTTTTCACAGCATTTGTGGCAAAATGTTCCATACATAATGGACTCAAGCGATTTATTAATATATTTAATATATAACTTTGTAACATAATTTTAACAAAATGTGTTTGTTTTTTCAGCGTAATCCAAAATTCTTTGCTTAACACATAATTTGTTGTGGATTGAAGGGGGCTAAAATACGATGTTTCTAAACATTTAACTTTATTTAGAATTACTGGTAGTGGGTGTGATTTTTTTCCCAGAAGATACAGATTTAGTGCTACCACAAAACTGACGTTTAAAAATGCAAGTATTTCTGTAAATTCAGAAAAACAACAGATTTTTGTTGTTGTTTTTATTATTATTTCAGACACAACATGATATTTTGTGGTTATTGACATTATCAAAAATGCTGTTGAGCTCAACTTGTACTGAATATGGAACATTACTTTAGGAGAGGAGCAAAGTTTGCTTTAATGTCTATTAAATTAAAGGACCACTCTGACTATAGTTTATTCTTAAGCTTCACCTTCCGAGAACCATCTTATGTCATTCCAAAAGTGAAAGTGTATTTTCTTTTTTCTAATATTTTCATCACAGACTGTCTGAATTAAAAATACCATACAAGTATTTATATTCTATTGCTATAATAGCACACCCACTATTAATTGTTAAAATTCAACATGTATTCTTAGGAGAAAATGACAGCAGCACTGATCTATAAAGAATTACTGGATTGCTCAGAAACCACCGGAAGTCTTGCATCCGCCATCTTACTGTGCCATACTGACATAGAGTTACAATGTCTACGCTACTGGGACTAGTCGCTCTGCTTCAAAAATGACCCGGTGTACAGTTACAAGTCTGACACGTTTAATAAAGGATGAGGAAAATCTGTTCAGGTTCTCTTCAAGCTTATTTTGTCATTTGTGTGCAAATATACTCTTTCTTTCCTTAGAAGTGAGTAGTAATAGCTAAAAAATTTATCATAAACTAATAATATACTGTGATATATAATCTACTACAATAGCAAAACCACCTGACAGTCATAGATGGAAGCAGTGCTTCTTTTTTAAAACAGGTAACAGAGCCAAATACAACTCCATTCATTAATTTACTGTCATGTTGCTTGAACTGTATTGGCATCATATGAATTTTCAAACCATGTAACTTACTTGACCAAACAAACACCTAATTTTAACAATGCACTATAAACCAAATCAGATAAAGGCTTTATTGTAAGTGCACATACAAAACATATCTAATCAGTGAGATGGGATTGACTCAAATCAATTAATTTGCTTAAATTTGTGTAAATAAAAGCTTTTTGACATGTTTGGTGTACAACATGTTTATGTATATTTGCTAAAGAAAACTATCAATGTGTCACAAGTGAACGGTCGAAAAGGCACAGGAGCAATCCAGTTCTCTATTACAGATTAGTGAACAGCAAGCAGGTTTGGAACAACTTCAGGAGCAGAACTTGACAAGAGAATTCTCATTCATTCTTTGAAATAAGAGAATTTTCATTCTTAACAAGAGAATTCTCACTCAAAGCGGAGATGAAAATTCCAATCAGTGTTAGAGATGGGAAGGAAAATCAAGGATAGTCGCTTTGGAGTATTTGAGCAGAAAAAAATGGAATGTTAAATAAGAGAGAGAGAGTGCTTTATACAGCAGAATAACTTGATAAGAGTTCAACAGGAAGTTAATTAGAGACAAACAGACATGATGACCAGACAAACAGAGACCGACAGGCAAGAAGAGATCTTCTACTGACATATTACAGACTGACAGATTATTATAGTGATAGAAGGGAGACTTAGTTCAACTTTTGACATAGAAGGGAAAGCCACAGAACATGGCCCTCTTAGGTCTGCTTTAGCCCAATTATGCCCACAGGAGGAGGAGAAGGAGGAAAGGTGCTGTTCGGAGAGAGGAGACGCAAAACAGCAAAGCTGGAGAGGGAGTGAGGATGGCGTCCATCATGCAGAAGGTAAGTTCAACAACCACAACAAGGCATCTGAAGTTACACCTGCCAACCACACAAAAGAGAGGGAGATAGAGAGAGATGCAAGAGGAGGGAGAATAAGTACACAAGAAGGAGAGAGGGGTTATAGAGAAAGAGGAACAGAGACTGAATGTTAATGTTATATTATTAGGGAGACTGAAATTGAAAGCACAGACAATGAAAAGAGAGAAAGCAAAAGATTCAGAAAGCGCAAAAAAAAAAAAAAAAATCAGATGGCAGTAAGAGCTAAAACATACTCCACATGATCAAATAAGTGCAAATAATTAAATGGACATCACTGGGTTCCAAAATGTGCCAAGATACATATCTCAATGGCAGTGCAAAATCAATTCTCAGATTTAACTACTGTCATGGTGAGGTAACAGCTTGAGTAATATTGTTGATGAAGTTAAAGTAACTGAGTAAGTGATTTTTGTAATATTAAAAAAGTGACACTTGTACCTCGTTTTAATCGAGTGGTATAGTACAGTTTAGCGCAGTATGATTCGGTATGGTTCCTTTTCAAGTTTCCACTGCCAACAGTACTCTTACTTGGTACTGAAGGAGTGGGGTACACCTGAAAATTGAGATTAACGTCATACACATATCACTTCTTTGTAAGAACCCATAAAATATTAGTTCAAGTTGTTCTTCATGCCTTGCTTAAATGATCTAAGTTGATTTGACAGATCCTGGATCTTTTAATCTTAATAACTGATTTTTAGGTAATTTGGTTCTTCAAACAAGATCACAAATCAGACTAAAATGCCTGGATGAATTGATCCGAGATTGCTGTATGTGTGTGTTAAAGAACAGATCTATCGATCCTCGAAAACATGATAAGCAATGCAAATACTGACATACAACACAGCAGCATAATGACATCTTCTGATTAATATACAATTACATATGTGAGCAAAATGACATAAAATTTGTACTAAACTGTTAGTTAAATATGATATGGAAAAACTTTCCACCTTGGTTGTGCGCTGCAGGCTTTACACTTTCATGTGTCAAGTAGGGATGCAACGATTAACCGGTTTCACTATTAACCGCGCTTCAATTCATTATGGTTAATTAATCATAAAAGCTTCTCACCACCGTGATTCTGCGCGGATCAAAACTGTGGCAACTAAACAAAGTTATGCCAACTGTGTGCTAGTTTGTACACAGAGACTAATAACCACGCACATGGGATTAACTATGACTGGGGCAATTAACTAAGGCAAGCTGGTGCGAGTTCATTATTTCCACTGGAGGGTGACGCAACGCAATGCAAAGCGCTCATATTTTTCAGGCGCACTAGTTGAGATAAGGGCTTTTGTGAGCGCTGAAACTGCAAACGGATGAAGTTTGAGGAAGAAGCAATAAAAGAACACAGGTTTGCAACTCTACTTAAAGTTAGAAATATTGGTGCCGATGAGAGCGATCATGCGGTTATATGATCTGCAAGCCGAGACCAATCCAGTGTTTTCGGAGAGAGTGCTGAAAGACTCGGAGTGGATTAGCTGTTTAATGTTCGAATCTCGATGTATTGCATTCACAGCGTTCAAGGCAAATGGACGCTAAATGTAAAATCTAACAGTGTATAGATCTTTGCCAGAAGCTTGACTTAGCTAAGTTTAAATTGAAACTTCGGCTCATGACAAAGAACAGTATTGCGCAGGTGGTCATCGTGAGAATGCTGCTCTGCGCTTCTCATATATTGGGTCGGCTGACTCGCCTGCTTTTTTCCACAAACAAAAAAAAGTAAATCAGCGCATAACAAGACAGAACATGTACAATGACACAAACCAAAACCAAAGCCTTTTAAGAGTGGCCGAAATGAGGCTTTTCTTCCTTTCGTTTGTCCGTTCTTTCTGGTTATTATATTGACATGTGTATGAAAGCAATAGTGCAAAATGTATATTTCTTACTGCAATGCTTCGTTTTTGTTTGATGCAAACCATAGATTTATTTGTCATAATGTAAGTTGAACTTTTTATAGCAGATATCTCACATTAAAGCACATTCAAGGTAGCATGATAATGTTATTTTTTGTTAGTATTATTATCATTGTCATCATTATATTTTATAATTATTAGACATTAATTTTGCAGTTATTGCACAAATATCATTAAGTTATAACAGAATTAGTTAGTTGTTTCTGGTTTTTGTTGATGTTTCAATGTTTTTAAATAAAATAAATTTGTTAATATACAATTTGCAGTGGTACTCATTCTTTTTTGGGGGGTGCTCCTAACTTTTTTATGGTGCTCCTAAAATTTTTGAAGTTGGGAGCAACGGTGCTACCAAGTACAAAAGTTAAAAATAGGCTATTGTTTGTTTGTAATATTAGTTTGTGCTGTATCAATTGGTTACTGAACAGCAATAAATAACACTTTAAAATATAAAGAGTTTTCAGGTGATTTTCTAAACTAGTGGTGTTTTGAAATTAATGAATGCATAATAATCTTGATTACCGTGAAATCGTGATTATTTCTTAGACTATAATTGTACAACCAAAATCTATAATCGTTGCATCCTTAGTGTCTAGAGTATTTAGCATTTAATTTAGTTTTACATTTAGAGCGGATTTTCTTTGTTATAGTGGGCCTATTCTAGTTCCTTAAATATTTTTTAAAATTAATTTTGCATTAAAAAAGCATTTTGATATCGGTAAAGGTGTCTGCAACATTTGCGAAGCATCAAATCACAGGCATATTAGCCTTTAAAACATGTGCATGACTGCATACATTTTATTCCTTTCCTTAAAAAAAAAAAAAATGTTGTCCATTATTATACACAAATTGTACTAAAGCTGGGTCGGTACCTTAAAATAGTACATTTGCATTTGTATCTAAAAAGTCCATATTAATAAATGTTTTCTTTGAAAAACGAACACACGTGACGTGGATTGTAGGTTGCACAACTGTTTTATTTATAGTTTAAAAAAAGGTTTTTTAAAAACTATTTTACCATTTTCCACAGTGTTCATGATCCATAGCTTACAACTGTAAGAATATATAAGTACTCTGAACATACTTTTAGTGTTACCTTTGCTTGGAACGACCCAATCTAATCCTATTTATATGAGATAAGCCTGCTCTCGAGCAGGTTTGAGCTACCAGACCTATTGCTATAACAACAAGTCTCAGATGAGTTTTAAACAACGAAACGATTCTGGATGGACGTAAAAAACAAATCTCAGATACATGCAACTGAAATGGGTTTTTTGGGGTCTTAGGGCACACCCTTAAAGATTGAGGAGCTCGAGAGGAACTCAGAGTAGAGTCTCAGCACCTTCACATAAAGTGTCTCGGGCATCTATTTCGCATGTTTCCTGGACACCTACATAGAGAGATGTTCTAGGTTTGTTCCATAGGGAGGAGACCCAGTCTGGAGAGACAGGGGTGCTTTCACAGGTTTATCTGACAGTGTTTACACTTCTTAAAATGAACCGCACTGAGCTGGACAGATGTCGACAGATGCTAAATGACACTGCCAGTTTACGAGCACTTGGAAAGCAATGTGTCAAATTCTTAAAATGTGGGGTGTCATGTTGTATAGTAACCACCGTGATGCTAATTTATGAGTTTGAAACAATCTGCAACACTGATCACCTGGATGGTTCATTCACCCATCTTGAAGCATAGATGTCTTTGCAAAATACCATAAAGATAAAATTACTTCATAAAATTGATAAAATAATGAAATAATTTCAATTTTTTTCCTACATTGGTCTTTCATAAAAGGTTGGACTGTTCGTTATGTGATAAAGGGCTTGGTTCACACCTGGAACTCAAATGCATTTTTGTCAGTCCGAAGTAAATGCAGGTACAAATCTGAAACATTTTTAGATTGTCCACTGCTGATAATATAGAGATTTACGACTTTATGTTGAATTTGGCTGGTGAAATTTCGCCTCTATTCACATCATGCTTCCAATACCTTTGTAAGTGATCTACTTATGTGAATAATTCAAATTCCATTTGACATGAAGCAATTAATCTCACTAAAACATGAACATATTAATGTATATTATACTGTTTGTATAAAACAGATGTGTTGTTTTTATTTTAACGAAATAAATAATTATAAAATAAAGTGTTGTTAATCCTGTCTAATTTTTTATTTGATTTTTTTTTAATATAAAAAAAAACACCTCAAAAGTACCGATAAAAGAACCGTTAAAATACCTAACCGATAAGTGGTATCATTAAAAGTAGTAATACTGCTAAAACCTTAACGATACCCATCCCTAAAAAACACACATTAGTTCAAAGTAGAAACAGGATCTAAATCAGAAAGGAACATGTGAATGGATATTTAGGCTAGTTCGACCTAATATACTCCTCAAAAAGAACTAATCTGAAACTACAGCTACTCACAGGCACATAAAAAGCAACTGCAAGCTAAAACAAAAAAATGCTGTGCTGCTTTGGTTATACATTGTATAGAATCATGTGCTTGTTTTGAGTAAAATCCTGAACGGCAAAAATTGAGCACAGTAGCCTCATTTAAGGCCAAAGCTTGGGGCTATTTTCCATGTCTCTGTCTCACCAACAATAACACAATCTAAAAATGGCACATTTACTTTCATGCTGATACATTATGGAGCTCAGATTCGGATTGGGAGAGGGATACAAAGAGATGGGGATAACAACAAAAAAGCAAGGAGGTAAGTGGTAGAAAGCAAGAGAAATCACGTATGCAAACAAAAACACACACACAGATAGCATTAGAGCCTGCAATCAATGAGACATATCAGGAGTACAGAACACACAGCCCACGCCAACTTCTGTATGTGACCCCAACATGTAAGTAAAAGGAACATTTATATTATGTGTACATGTAAATCCCTTTATATGTAAATGCATGTTCACGATTTACAATTTAAAAATCTCAGTATTGATTGAATTGCTGAGCTATACATGTTTAAGAAAAAAAGACAAGCACATAAAAGCAAGAAAGACAGAAATGGAAAATCCCAGTGAATGAGGTTAAAGCCAAACAAGCTTGATGAACCTGATAGGACATTCCCACAATCTGAACTGGGGGCAGTCTCACCAGGAAGAAATGCTGATTGATTGTCTTGGCACTATGGTTACTGTTGCTATGGCAGCATGAAAACTGTGACTCAGAATTGCAGAGAGACTACAGCAGAGGTGTGATAGTCAAAACAGCAGTTATGAAACTATGCCTCAGAGAAGAATGAGCTCATGATCATCTAATGAATGGCTACAAAGAGAAAATTAATGAATAAATAAATTTAAATTTATGATGATTCAGATCATTTAGTGTCTATTAAGTATCTAGAGTACAAATGAAATATTATTAAAATGACAATTAAGGGCATTTAAAAAAAAGGTGTTTATCCTGTTGTTTAAAAATACATGATTTCATACACTATTTACAAGTATATTTCATATAAAACCAAAAGAAATTCAGATAAATAGACAAATGCAAATACATTAAATACATTTGTAAAAACATAATCAAATATTGAATAAATAGTGTTTATAAATACTCTACCACTCAATGGTTTGGACATATTCAAGACAATACATTTTTTATTATTATTATTAAATCTTTTTTTATTTAATAATATAGCTAAATGTGGAAAAAAAACTGAAAAAATATTAGATTTAAATCTTAAAAGCTTTTTATTGGTGCTCTTTAAAGATTTTTATGGGTGGCTCAAAATGCTTTACAGATTTTAGTGGAATCAGCCACCACCAGTGTGCAGCATCCACCTGATTAATAATATTTAATAATACATTTCATAACCTAAATATGTTAAAATCATAAATGCTTAATGTAAAGAGTTGAAGTCAGAATTATTAGCCCCCCCTTTGATTTTTTTCTTTTTAAAATATTTCCCAAATGATGTTTAACAGAGCAAGGGAGTTTTTACAATATGTCTAATAATACATTTTCTTCTGGAGAAACTCTTATTTGTTTTATTTTGGCTAGAATAAAAGCATTTTTTTATTTTTTTAAAGCCATTTTAAGGTCAAAATTTTTAGCCACTTTATATTATATTTATATTTTAAAGCTATATATTTTTTAGGCTATTTAGTTTGCAGAACAAACCATCGTTATACAGTAACTTGCCTAATTACCCTAACCTGCCTAATTAACCTATTTAAGCCTTTAAATGTCACTTTAAGCTGTATAGAAGTGCCTTGAAAAATATCTAGTTAAATATTATGTGCTGTCATAATGGCAAAGATAAAAATTAATCAGTTATTAGAAATGAGTTATTAAATGTTAAAAAATGTGTTGAAAAAATCTTCTCTACGTTAAACAGAAATTGTGGAAAAAATAAACAAGGGGGCTTATAATTCAGGGGGGCTAATATTTCAGACTTCAACTGTAATGGTGTCAAGATTTTCCAAATCCTCGATTCGATTACATTTTCGATTCTAAAGTCATGGTTCGACTCGATTCTCGATTTAAAAAAAAGAACAATTTGAAAGCACAAGCTATCCCATTTTAAGACTTTTATGCAATAAAATAATATCTGACCTTTGTGTGCTGTGACAGTCATGAAGCTTTATGCTGCGCTGGAGGTCCAGCAATACTGTATGTAGTCAAGGCTACTAAATGTGCACTGCTAAGACCTTCAATAAATTTCTCCTTCACATTATTGTACATGGAGGGTTATCACTATAGCTGTGAGATGCGTTCTACTTGGGATTTCTTACTGCGGTTCTACATGCAAATTAAATGCCTAAAACCAGAGTTTTTTAACACTAAATAAGTTTGCATGTCCGAAGCTATAAATCCACCTACTGCGCTTGTAATTGCCTTTGCACATGTTAAGTTACTTGGAAGTTTTATTCCAAATGATGACAGGAGAGTAGTTTGTGTTACACTTGTCGGTTTAACAGAAAAATATGTTTTTGTGGTGCCTGCGGAAATGCCTTGCCAAGTTAGTCGTGCTGCCGGTGGAATAATGTGGTATACGTACATAGCAGAGAACTTCTTGCAGCATTTCAACAAGCGTGTTTTTTTTCCACTTGGCAAGTCAAGCTGACGTTACATGGAGGCATGGCAGCCGCGACAATTCCATTTTTTGATTTGATAATTACAGTAAGAGCATGAATTTTTATTTATTTTGAATCCTGACACACCTATTCAACTGTATTAAAACTTAGACCCTTTACTGATTCAGCTATCTGTATTTGTATTATCAATACAACAAAAAATTACAGCCTTTTTTAAAGCTCTTTTTAATGTCATCACATAGAAATGTGTATCTTTATATGCTATTTAACACCCTAGCAACTGCCTAGAAACTACCCAAATTACCTTTTCAACCATCTTAAATATAGCAACTGTCTAGTAACCACAAACTACTGAATCAACCTATCAATCTGTCTGCCCATCTATTCATCCATCTATCTATCCATCCAAAATATGGCAAGCCAAGAGGTTTTAAAAACTTTCTGAAGCCTTGTAGCTTTTAGTTAACATTTAAACACAACTATATAATGCCTATAAACGTTTTGAAGTATTTTAACCCAAGACTCCGGAATATAAACAGCTTTAAAATTTACATACATTAATTTGTTAAGTGTGTCCAAACCTTTGAATGGTTGAGCACTTGTATAGATCATATATCATACAACACATAAAAAAACAAGTCTCAACTGTGAATGTATGTAATTTCATAGAGTTAATTAAGGTTTGAAAGGGTTAATACGGCTTCAAGTCAGGTCATTAAAGCACTACAGGCAAAAAGATCAGCAGGAGGACAATAAATGACTAATGATTGGAGTCACAAAGTATAAAAAGCAACACTATTTGACCCTTAGTAACAAGACCTGGAAATGCATTTTCCAGGGTCTTTCCACAGGCAATTCTTTGGATTTTAAGAGCAGAACTCTGTTTTCTTTGAATAGTGCAGTATTGAATTTGAATACTTTTAAGAGTAAACACCACACAGGCCACAACGTTACTAATCAATAATCCTTTAATCATATGATACCTTATTATTAGCTTGGTCTAATTTCAGGTTTGATCTGCTTCCAGTGATTAATGATCCCGTTTTAGATAAATGCATTGGCACACATCCGAATCATCATACATCACATAATCTAATTATAGATGTAAGGAGGGGTAGAGGCCCATAAGCTGGTTTGATTGTGTCTAGTCTTCTAAAAATTAATGCGCTATCCTGTGACTATATTTATTGTCAATGTAGTGTGTAAGAGGCTGGGCGGTGTGTACTGTACTTACCCCATTCCACTCCACGCTCATACTCACTTCCTCTCCACCGTCAGGGCCACTCTCGTACTTCACCGTGTCAGAGGTCAGGCTCTCACGACTCCTCTGTTTCTCTCGTACTTCAGGGTCTCCCAGCACCTCTGCAACACGCTGCTTATGAGCTGTGTCCAGACCCTTCAGCAACAAAGACATCACACTCACAATTAAAAATGATTGCAATAAGCTAGAAGGGCTATTGCATTATACTTGGAAAGATGGATGCTTCATCCATAGAATTGTGAAAAAAAGAAACATTGAACTGTATTGAACTTGAGAGACAAACTTATATCAAAGGCAAGAATATGGATTTTTTTTTGGCAGCCATATATGAATATTATGTAAATTGTGTGTTTGTAAACATGTATTTTTTATTGCTTTCTTTTTGTCGTTATCTAATTTTCAATGTTTTAACGCATAATTTTTTAAATTATTATTTTTATTCAATATTTTATTTATTTATTTATTTATTTATTTATTTATTTATTTATTTATTTATGTCATTTGAATATTTATATGTGTATACATATATAAGACAGGTTGACATATATAAATATATAAAACAAACTGTTTTGTGGGCTGGATTGTTATTGTATGCATGTATTGTGAATCTAATATTTGAGAAAAAAAAAGAAAAAAAAAAGATTGCAATTATTGGTCTTTTTGTCTTTTTTGTCTTTTTCTCACATTTAAGTAGGGCCAGACAGGATCTGCTGACATTTTTTGCCATTTCTGTGCAGAGTTTTGTAAAAAGTAGGGAGTATGATAACTAAAAAGTTAATATATGAAATAAAAAGTAATACCTTTTTATTAAATGTTTACAGTGCAAATCCAATTAGATCCAGTATTTGTTAACCACAGCAAGTCTTTCAAATAATACAGATATATTTAAAGGCAGACAATATTACCTTGCAAACTGTATTGTAAATAAATCATATGAACATTTTCATGTTAGTCAGTAATATTACTGATATTAATTTAAAAACAGAATAAATATAAATTTACACACATTTGCACAATTAAATAAACGGACTCAAAAACGGGATAAAAACTGCAGAAATGTCATGTGGGCCTACATATAAACTATCATATTATAAAGTAACTTCACAGAAATTTAGGTGAAGTATTTTATAATACTATGAATTTTGAGAAACTCAAATTTACTATGGACCTAATATTGTGAAAAATTAATTTTGTCATATCACCCAGCAGATACAGTGCATTTAGAAAGCGCTTCACTTTTTCCACATTTTTTTTTTTTTATGTTACAGCCTTATTCTAAAATGGATTATATTCATTTATTTCCTCAACATTCTACACACAATACTCCATATTGACAATGTGAACAATTTTGAAATTGTTGCAAATTTATTCAAAATAAAAAACCTGAAAAATCACATGTATATAATTATGCACTGCATAACATATATTATAATCCATTTTGCCATTGGCAAAATCCATTTCCATCATGGTCCCCACCCCTCCCAAGAACAGAGACTCTTATTAGAGAAACACAAATTTACATATCCAAACAAGCTAACTTTGACATTATTACATAAAACTTTGCCAGGCTAAACCTTTACTAAGTACTTAAAAAGAACTCACTGAATCCTGAGTGACAGAGGTCAATTTTTGTTTGACCTGATCATTTCTTCTAAACTGATAATTCAAACCCACCTGTTTTCTGGAGCGCAAAGCCGCCTCCTCCAGAGTCTCAGCAGCCTCAAACTTGCCCTGTCTCCTGTAAAGAGCTCCAAGATTCTTCAGTGTCGTTGTCACGGTTGGGCTGCAGTCCAAGAAGTCAAACAGAAAAACACTTAATTGAGATGCAACAGCTGTAAAAGTGTAAACTCTTGAAAGGCTATTCACAAACAAATGTGTGTATTTGTATCAATCTTTATGCAGCAGAGAGAATATCTGACCTGTCTACTTTACAGGCCTTGTACCATCCACCATATTCTCCAAATGGAGTCCCATCCTTCTGCTTGATCTAAAACACAGATAGAATTGAAAATTACCCCCCTCAAATCTACCAAACACTGGAAGTACCATCTGGATGGTGCTGGTGTTCAAAGTCAAAAAAGATATGATGTAAAAACTAAGAATAAAAAAAAACTGTCAATCCAAACAAAACACAGACTTTCCCAATGACAAATTATATACTCACCTAAGGCAGCATTTGGTTGGCCTTTACTCACTGGATGTATACAAGTTATTGAAGTTATTACCCTTATTTTTTTGTATATACTTGTGTTATACTAACAATGTATGAGGAACTTTTATTTTAAAATGGGACAGGCTTTAAGGAAGTGTAAAAGATTAGTTTTGTAAAGCAGACAGCCATGCATGACCACAGTGTTCATCCTAATGCAAAATGCAAAATCAATTTATCAATGTTTCATTATATGGCACCTTTAACTCCCTGGGGTTCAATAACTTGTATACAGTATGCACTTCTTATGTGCAGGCATGCGTTCTTATGTGATTACACTAAAAGGAGCTAAAACAGCCTGTAATTTCTGGTCATATTGATAAGTCAAATACGAATTTAAAAACTGTAAACTGTTTGGATTTATTTTCCATACATTCATACTTCCAACAAACAGAAATGTTTTAGAAAAAAATTGTGCTTGGGGCGACGCAGTGGCGCAGTAGGTAGTGCTTTCGCCTCACAGCAAGAAGGTCACTGGGTCGCTGGATCGAACCTCGGCTCAGTTGGCGTTTCTGTGTGGAGTTTGCATGTTCTCCCTGCGTTCGTGTGGGTTTCCTCCGGGTGCTCTGGTTTCCCCCACAGTCCAAAGACATGCGGTTTAGGTGAATTGTATAGGCTAAATTGTCTATAGTGTGTGTGTGTGTGTGCAGGGATGTTTCCCTGAGATGGGTTGCGCCTGGAAGGGCATCCACTGCGTAAAAACGTGATGGAAAAGTTGGCAGATCATTAATATTGAATTAATAAAGGGACTAAGCTGACAAGAAAATGAATGAATGAAAGGGAGTGCTTGATCTGTCTGTGACTGATTAACAAACGCATAAAAAAAAATGTTCACAGAATTGTTGCTTTACAGACATGACACATACCTGCGTAAAAGCCTGAAATGTACACTTTTAAAAGAGAAAAAAATGCACTCTTTCTGAAAACAAATCTTCTCTGGTTTACTAATTTGTATGGAGCAGATGCAAAGCAGAATTCTCTGGTCTGTGCTAATTATCCGCTAATTAGTTCCCGCCACCCTCATCACATGATGATACACACATGAACTCGTGAATGGCCACAAACAACTCGCTAGGTTCATCTTCAGAGAGAAGTTAATTTCTATTTCATCATTAAGAAAAAGTTGGTATTAAGTTGGGGCCGATCATGAGATTTCAGACTTGATTGGAATCGTACGTTACCTACCGATCAAGACTCAAATAAATATGTATATACAGTTAAAGTCAGAATTATTAGCCCCCCTTTTATTTTATTTTTTAGATTTTTAAAAATATTTCCCACATTATGTTTAAAAGAGTAAGGACATTATTTTTCTTCTGGAGAAAATCTTATTTGGTTCATTTCGGCTAGAATAAAAGCAGTTTTAAATTTTTTAAACACCATTTTGAGATCAAAATTACTTGCCCCTTTAAGCTATATATTTCCGGTATTAGAGATGAGTTGTTAAAACTATTATGTTTAGAAATGTGTTAAAAAAAACTCTCCATTAAACAGAAAATGGGGGGTGGGGGCTAATAAACGGGGCTAATAATTCAGGGGGCTAAAATCCTGACTACAACTGTATGTATGTGTGTATGTGTGTGTGTGTGTGTGTGTGTGTGTGTGTGTATATATATATATATATATATATATATATATATATATATATATATATATATAAATACATACAGCTGTTTCTTGCTGAGTGTGTGTGTGTGTGTGTGTGTGTGTATATATATACACATACATATACAGCAAGAAACAGCAAGATGTGCGACATGACAACACTTTGTTGCAGAGACGATATTGGTTTAATGCAAAATACAACACAGAAGCAGCTTGAAGCAGAAAGAGCAAGTATGTCTGTGGTCTGGAGGCATTATAAAAATGATGAAGACAACATTGCCAAAGCAAACTGTGAGATATGTAAACTTGCGATTGCCTGCCAGGTATTTTAAGTTGAGGCGCTATTTTTTTTATATTAGTTTTTTTTTTTATTATACTTGCACAAGTCCAAAAGTGAAGAATTTATGTTATATATTAATTGGTTGTTCAATCTACCTCACAGAAGTGCTCTGTTTGTTAACAGAGTGGTTGAGTGTTAAAATAAGGTGAATTAAATAAAAAAGGAACATCCTGGGTCTGTTTCTTCACTCTTCTTTATTCTTTTTTATGCTTTATAGAAGTATCGGATCAGGTTTCGGTATAGGTAGATACTCGAAATCAATGACTCTGACTCAAGGGCAAAAACACTGATTGGGACATCCCTACTTGGAAAACCACTGTGATTGAATGCTGCCTTATTTAGAAGATGGCACATGTTACAAGTTATTTTTTTACTGTACCTCAACCAGTCAAAAGTAAAAAAAAAAATATATATATATATATATATATATATATATATCAGTTTAATATAGAAATATGTTTTCTCAGAAAAATAGTCAAGTGTTGAATACTTATTTCCCCCACTGTATACCAACTAAATAATTCTAAACCCAAGCAATAGTGTTTTCAAAAGCAAATGTTAGAGAAAAGTGTAAGGTGACCACTTAGTTTTACCTTGATTTTATATAGCTTTTGTGGAACTGTGCTTCCATTTAAACCAACCACAGGGAGAGACAGACCCCTTAAATCAACCCCCACTACAGCTGATATAACAACACGAGCTAAAAGCAACATAGCCAAAACCCCTACTGTATATCCATATGGTCAACTGTACATCATGCACATACTGTACAGGGCATAATGTCACAGATGGCACATGGCAGTGCCCTAAATCAGATGTCAAAAATCGCAATTTTAATGAGATAATTACAACATGAGATTTTATAGATATAAAATAATAAGATTTTATATTTATCTTTATTATATTATATTATATTATATTATATTATATTATATTATATTATATTACATTATATTATGCATTTATTAACATTTTCTATTGATTTTTGATTTCCACATATGAAGCTGATGTACCAGGGGTAATAGTTGAGTTGTTTTTATGCCTTTTGGACTACAACATTATACAAATTAGACCCATTTTATAAAACTTTAAGAATTGTCCTATAAATTTGTCATCTATCTATGAAATGTAAAAATCTGCTTTAATTTGCTATATTTGCACATAGTCTGTATAATTATGGTTCACATGTGATGCAGTTTTATAAATAGGCATTTTTAAATTGGAATTTCTCAAAAAGAAGATTTCTCAGAAAGCAAACCTTTGACACGGCCTAACTTAGTCAATATTACAGATATCAAAGTTATATTTTCACAGAATATTTCTTAGTTTGTGTAGTATGATTTTATGACGAAAATGGCGAATCACACACAAAAAAGACTTTAGCTGGGTTTTAACAGAGGGGTCACACACACCCAAAGAGTCAGCAAGCATGACATAAGTAGCTCTCAGTTTTTAAAAGTAGCTCGTATAAAAAATAAGGATGGAGATCCTTGGTTTATATAAATACAAAAGAACATTGGAAAATAAAATTTGTTTTGTTTTTGTTCCACAGTTGCAAAACTATAATGTAGAATCAGATTGAATTTACATTGTCCACTAGGGATGTAATGGTATCAGAATTTTACGGTACAGTAATTCCTCGGTATGAGTGTCACGGTGCGGTATTTATTGAATCATTTACAGGAAAAACAAAGCTAATGAAAATACTCCAAAAAAGTGCCAAAAGTGTCAATGACATACAAATTAGCCATCTATCTGTAAGCTTTGAAACAGGAACTTCATTTTTAATAACAAAAAATTATTAAACCTTGTAAAAAAATAAAGTTTCAATTTAGTATTGTTGAAAACTCATCACATTCAACATTTAATCACGCACTCACTCACTTAGATAGAGATGGGTTTTAAGGAAAATTATCATATAACTATAATCTAGTAAAAGCTGGTATCTCTGGGCATTTACAATGTCCCCTGCAACAGAAAAAAACCCTCTCATTTGGGACTGAGGTTTCTGGGACAGAGATATGACTTGACCCAGGTTGACAGCAGTGGGTAACGTTGCGCATTGTCTTTCCCCCACTTGAGAGGACAAGCCATGAGTGAGATAGAGGTCTCTTTGCGGTACAAGACAATGTCTGCATCAATCTGAACAGTGTGCTGTGTTTCTGCAGTCCCCATGCCATGACTGTTATTAGTCGTATTCCCCAACTTGCAGGCAAGTGCACACATGGGGCTCAACCTGTGCAGTGCACATGCCCTTTTTAGTCTTGGATAAAAAGTGCCCTTCCAAAATGATCAAAAGTGCCCCCGCGACGCGACACAACCTCCGTCCCGCCCTTCAGTACGCGGCGACAACAACAACACCCCAACCCCCTCTTTTTAGAGAGAAACCGAAATGCTTCCACACATCCAATTTAAAACTCGCTTTAGGTTCGATCATTTTCAGCTCTTTTACATCCCCGCTACTAGCAGCACACTCCATTTCCGCATTACTGGATCTGTAGCGACAACAGACCGCAAAGGATGATGGCCATGCCTGGGCTGATGGGAATTGTAGTTTCCGCTACCTCCCGTTCGCTTCATTCGCCTGAGCAAATTTTCTCATCATGCGACTACGGTAATATTGAAAAAAAAATGCTATTGCGGTATGACAGTATTTACAATTATTAATATATTATTTTCCACTAGTCATCAAATGAACAAATTAAGCCATCTGAGAAATAAGCTGATACTACAACGTGTATTATGTACTGCAATGTGTATTATAAAATAAATCTAAGCTGTTTTTTTTTTTCTTGGATGGATGGAAAACTGTTTGATTATATGTCATTTAACAAGGGTAGAGTCAAAAAAATTACTGTTAAACTGTCCATCCTCACCTTGCTCTGTTCTTCTCTTTCTTCAGCATGCATCCAGATGGGTTTATTTTCATCTGCAGGGTAAACAAATAAAACGAAAAAAAAAACATCAAAAGCAAACACACATTTGCTATACCATATCTACAATAAATCAACATTAATTCCTGTCAGTACGTGTGTGCATGCATGTTATACCTGTTATATGCGTAAGAGCTTAAAAGAGTAAGAAATAATTTCCTAAAAATACAACATATTTAAATGTACTCAACGTGTAATAAGATTAACTTAAACCTTGTGTTTTGTTTAAATTGAAACTCTTTCATTATGTTCGTGGCTGTTTTTGCTTCGTTGACCTTCATTATAACAAAAATATTTGTTTGCAAAGCCATGATACCATGGCCATGGAAAACAAGCAGCAATTATGAATGCATGATATATATGGTGTCATGGCTTTGCGATTAAAGAAAAATTATTATAATGGAAGTAATTAGAGCAAAAACATCCGCAAACATAACAAATGGGTAGTAAATTTGTCCATGGTGTATTGTTGAGTTGAGTCTCAAAGCCTTTTTTCAAAATAGGAGTCAAAATAAAGGTTGTCACCAAATTTATTCCATTTGCTGAAACACAAAAAAAGTTGTTGCCAAATTAAGACTCAAAATCACCCCAGAGTGATAACAGAAAGTTTACACACTAAAGAAGATAAAAGCTGAAGAAAGCTAAAAAGCTAAAAACAAAGACCTCCATAGTAGTAAAAAAAAAATGCTTTGAAAGTCAACAGTTATCAGCTTCTAGCTTTCTCCAAATTTAGTGTTTAGCAGAAGGAAGTCAAACAACAAGTTTGGAAGTTTGGATCAAGTAAAGGGTGAGTAAATGATGACAAGGCATGTGTATATATAAATATATACAACACTTCTGTCTGGTTCTCTAAACTGATTGGCTGATAGCCGTCCAATATTCCTGCAGTGCGATATATATATGTGTATGTCGTCACTGGTGGGACACTAAGACACTAACGCATGCCTCCTATATTTATCCTATATATTTTATTAACGCATGGTTAATGCAGTGCATTTTCATTATAACCCTTGCCCATAGTTGGAAAATATGCATCCAGTAAAGAATACAGCACTTATTGGAAATGATGAATGAAAAAGTTACAAACGGTAAGATTGTAAACATAATGACGTCTCATGGTTCTGTCAACAAGAAAAATCATTTCTGCAATCTGCATTTACTGTTTTTGTAAATTAAGTTAACACCACAGTGAACGAGTGAAACAGTGAACTGCTTCTATTCCCCCACATCAGGCAAACCACAACCAGTTCAAAGGGACTCCACAAGGTGTATGTACGTTTGCGGGATGGCTGAATATCCTCATAAATAAATTCCCCTTGTTCACAGGGACAAAGTATAAAGAACATTGCAAAACATTTTTCAGAAGATGTAAGAGTTATGAAAAAGGCATACATACCATCAACAGAACCAAATTCTCTCTCATGGGCTCGGGTGAGGATCTCTTTATATAGAGTCTCTGCCTGCTTAAATTTTCCCTGTTTCAGATAGCATGAAGCCTTAGATAGAGAGAAAAAATTATCATTAACAATTACTTATTTAAGCATTTATAGTAAATAAACAGTGTCCAGACTTACTGAGTTTTTACACACAGGGAAAAAGATGATAGACTCTATACAATCTAATTAAAGTAATTAAAAATAAGTATCTGACATTTAGTGTTTGTGCAATTTCAGCTGGTATTAATTTGAAGACTGGTATTATTTTTCTCATAAATATCTGTGACTGGTATATACAGGCATATCTAAAAATAACTGGATGAAACCCTAAACCCTTACTCTGGTAAAAGATGTTACAGTTTGAGAAGTTGTTACTCTAAAAGCATCTTCCATTACACTAAAAGCAGAATGATGCATACGTTATGTTTATAATCTGCTGAGATGACAGAAAACCTGCAGTAAATAACACTGCAGACCACACCATATGGATAGATTCCTTAAAGAGGATTAGTTCTCTTTCAAAACAAAACATTACAAATAATTTACTCACCCCCTTGTCACCCAAGATATTATTTTCTTTTGTTCGTTGGTTGTAAAGAAATTATGTTTTTTAGGGAAAACATTTTATGAATTTTCTCCAAATGCACTGTATAAAGGCGTTTCAACTATGTTCAAGTGGGAACTGGTGGTGTTTTATATATGTCATGTAGAGACAAACCAGGCGCCTTGACTGGACAGAACTAAAACTGCAGTTTGTTGCTTAAAATTGTTTGTGTGCTTTGGAAACAGTGGGTCAGCACTGCATACATTATGGTAGTGCTCAGAAATTAATCAAAAAATAGAAATTGCAAAGACGACCGAGTAAAGCTGCGATGGCTATGTACATTTTGTCATGAAGGTATGGTTGTGTGATCAATTGTAAAGCTCCTTCAAAATACCAGAGGGTGCTCTCACTTCAAACACCCAAGACGAAAAAAACCCAGGAAATCCCTATAGCATTGGATTATGATTAGAAAATTTTTCATTGATTTAGCAAGAGCTCCGGTTTCCCCCACAAGTCCAAAAACATGTGAATCAGGTGAATTGGGTAAGCTAAATTGTCCGTAATCTATGAGTGTGAATGAGTCTGTATGGATGTTTCTAAGAGATGGCTTGCAGCTGGAAGGGCATCCGCTGTGTAAAACATATGCTGGATAAGTTGGGGGTTTATTCCACTTTGGAGACCCCATAGAAATAAAGGGACTAGGCCGAAAAGAAAAAATCATTTAGCAAGACTAATAATCACATGACTATGGAATCATCTATTGTAACACAAATATCTATTTCATACCTTCGAATAAATTTTTGAGGCGAGTTTTGGCAAAGACCACCATTATTTTTTGTAGTACCACCATTATTATTTGCAGTAGTAATTTGTGAGCTCCGCTGAAGACCTCGATTTCCCCTTTTCCACCAGAATTTGTTGCTAGTTTAGAGTTAATGCTATTGCACAAAGACACTGACAGAGATTAGAAGCATTATGTTCTGCTGCCATTTCATATATGACACTCCAAACAGTTTGGGCATCTCATTGGTTGAGGTAATCCTACCCTCAGCCCAGATGCAAACTGTTCTTATTCCTAGCCAAGAATGCTTTGGTGCTGTTGAGAACAACTTAATCCTGATTTAGAGCCAGTGCTTTGAGTTCTGGTTCAGAGCTGGAGCCTAATTACAAATTGGTTCTTTGTCTTTTGATACTCAAACTACCTTGGAGGAAAAGAGGTATATATGGAAGATAAAGAAAGATATTAACACCTTGGATAACAAGGAGATGAGTAAATCTGTAAACTGTAAACACTACCCATTTTGCATGCTAACCCTAATCAAACACACAGGTCACTGCCTCGTTACCTAAAAAGGTTGTGTCAGGCAAAAAATACATGCAAAATGTGCATTGCTGAAGGGGTTTCAGAAACATGGCTGTGAAACACTGCTTTAAATAAATGGTGTGAAGTGTGAGGGGTGTTTGTACCAGGTTGTTTTTGGTCTTGGCCACATTGGGGTCATCGGGGCCCAGTTTGGTCTGATAGATCTCCAGGGCCCTCTGGTAGTAGTACTCCACTTCTTCATACTTGCCTTGGTTCTGACACAGTAAGGCCAGATTATTTAGCTGTTTGGCAACATCAGGGTGGTCCTTCCCCAGCACCTGACAAACACATGAATATCTCACATTATTGACCTGCTGCAGACTTATCTGTCACACTGACGGCTGCAGTGTAAACCACCAACAGAGAGTATATTACCAGGTTATTCAGTTGTTTGGAGAGGTTAGCTCTTACAGTATGGATTGTAATGCATACCATTGGGGCTGCAGGAATGAGAATCCAGCCTTTAAACTGAAATATACTTTTTAAATGTTGTTTAAACAAACATTAAGCAGTTCACTGAACTGCTTTAACTATGCAAAGATGCACTAATCATGTTCACACTTGCTGCTTATTGGCCACTGTAATCTATTTATGTCATATTAGATATAGATAAAATAGCCTAAGCTATTGAAATCATTTAAAGTATTACAATTATCGGATATATAAAATTTTTTTAAATAAATAAACCAATATAAAACAAACAGGGCGAAGCAGTGGCGCAGTAGGTAGTGCTGTCGTGTAGTACATTTAAAAAAAATGAATGAATGAATGAATAAAACAAACAATAGCACTAACAATTTAGGCATGTGTAATAAAAATAAATTATAAATTATATTATACAGTTTTAAGCCATTTTAAACTTTATTTAACAAAGGCCTACCTGAAAAATAGTTTATATTTTTTAGATTTTAGATATTTTCTAAACAACAGAGGAGTCTTGAAATATTATTTATAAAATATTTAGATATGATGATATAAATCAAATTAGGCAAACAGAGCATATTTTGGGTGAGCAAAAACATCAAAAACTACCTGTTCTTTTCTGTCATGCAGTCCTACACTGCTTTATAAACGAATTGCATTCAAATTCTAATTTTAAATGTAGAGCTTTATAAGAAGGATATTTCATATTTTAAATCGTAATTTTTCAAATAAATCTTGCTTGGGTCGTTCTGAAATATTTAACATTACTTTAGTCAAATGTATGATACTTTTTTTTCTTAAACCAGATGCAGATTTTAAATAGCTGCTGTGACGCGAACACAACAATATAGGCTAGCCTATATTTTATTATTGCTCTACGGTTTCCTTTACTTAAGATGACCGAATAATATGCAACATCCTTAAATTATTCTTTTAAATAAAGGGGAATTACCTATTAAGTGTCACATAGCCTATGAAAATAATGTTTTTAGATCTCTCCGGAGAATTAGGATTAACCTTTTGATGGCATCTACCGAAACGAGAAGGTATTAAAATATGATTTAAACCGAGTTATTACCAGAGAAATTCAGTGGTATTATATTAGCCTATAGATGGTGTACTGGGTCATCATCCCTCCGTTAGTTTTAAGACCACTCGATGCACGATACCAAGAGCAAAGACCATAGAAAACACAAGACATGTCACTCGTATAGTTTTTTATGAGGTAAGTGTAACATTCAATATGGCGAATAGAGCCCTGCCTTCTAGTACAGGAGCCAATCATCGATCGCAATAGACAGACGATTCTCCATGGTAGGGGCTCGAACCAGACGTGAGTTTTTGCAGATTTTGTGCGATTCAAGTTGTTTAGAAATTAAACTTAAAAGTTGTTGTTTAAGTTTATTGGTGATTGTTAATATGAAATTTAATCATAAGCTTGGAATGCAATTTTGGAGAATTTGATGTTTCCCCATTCAAACAGAATGCCAGAGCACACTACACGACTGGCGTTTCAAAGATGGCAGCTGAGTGCAATGACACTGGCAGCGTCCAAAACCGCCTACTACTCAGTAGGTATTGCATTTGAATTTAAACGTACTACTCGGCCGTTAGAAAAGTATGTTCTATAAAGTATGAATGTGAAAAGTATGAATGGAATTCGGACGTTTTACATCCGGCATTTTGTTATGGTCACATGACCTACCAGCGTCAGTTGCATCGCTTCACTTCCATTCATGAATTCTCTCGCAGGGCATTATGGGATACCGCAGCGTGCATGGGATGCGCACTCCAGAATCTCGCCGGAAGCAGTAAGTCATCCGGGTACTTCTCACATACTGATTTTCGAATTCTATGAATTCGGACATACTACTCGACTCACATACTGATTTTAGTGTACCATATAGTATGGAAGTATGCAGTTTCGGACGCAGCCATTGACTTTCTTCTTCCTGCTTAACTGGGGAGGTTGTGTGAAGTTTCAATCAGCTAGCAATCTAGGAATGGGGTTTGCATTTTACGCTGTGAGCTATTGACCCAATAGTGAAATCGCAACATGATTTCGGCCTCACTGTTCAAACTCTCTGAGTCTTGGGCTACTTCAGCCTGATGAAAACCCTGGCTCACACTGGCCCGACAGTGGATATGCGGCTAATGATGTTTAGGCACAAGGATGATCAAATTTAGAAATGAAACCTCTAACATTAAAATGGCAAGAGTTTCAGTTTCAATGTATATCCCCTGTGTACATATACGGAAAAGGCAAATACAAAAGAAAGTAGTGATTTGAAAATTTACTTTGACTTGTATTTCATTGCATACAATATGAACACAAATTAGTTCATGTTTAATATGGTCAAATTCATTTTTATCTGTAAATATACATCTTTTCCTGTCATTCAGACCTGAAACACATTTCAAAAAGAGTTGCGACAGGAGCAGATTGGGGCTAGTAATCATGTAAATTGGTTAAATAATGATGCGATTTGAAACAGGCGATGTCAACAGGGAATTGTAATAAAAGATGTCACTACTTCAATATGTTACCTTTGCCGCCGTTCGTATTACTGCAGCGGCGGTAGTTGGTGTGCCAGCAGCTTTTGTATGTTTTTGATAAGTTTTCCATATCATCGCAACCTTTGTTGATTTGGGGTTGTAAATTAGAATCCATTTTGAAATAAAGACTAAATTCATTACTAAGTCACACTCACGACAGGTATGTTTAACACCTGACCCACCTTCTCTCTGATTTCCAAGGCTCTTTTACACAGAGGCTCTGCTTCCTTGTACTTCCCTCGTTTGCCATAAAGAACAGCCAAATTGTTCAGTGTGGCAGCCACCTGCACATACACAAGAACAAGCATGTTTATTTCTACACATAAATTTACTAAAATGTCTAATAACATAAAACAATCAAAAGATCAAATCATTTATAAAGCCAATCATTTATAAACAATTAGTCACTGATTACAAAATGATTATTTAAATGACTGGAAATCTGATTAAGGTCAACTCTGCGGTCTAACATGCATATACACATACAACATTCACCCATGCTGTGTTATAGAGGTGTTCTGATTAACCTTTGATTTAATTACTTCAGTGCATATAGAATTGAATTGTGGAGAGAGAAACAAAAAATAGATGATATATGTTGTAAAGGTGTGTAAATTGTAAAACGGGCTAATAGCAGACCAAAATAAACATAATATTCAGAAAACTGCAAACGTACCACAATAAATTGTATTTAGTATTTATAAATTGTAAGTTAGTATTATCAGTATTAAGTTGAAATGTATGGTATGTAATATATAAAATATAGTATAAATAGTATATATAATTTATAGAAATTTTGGCAATTACAATAAACAACATCTGCTATAAACATAAATATCCCTATAATGAGCAGATAACTGAATACATTAAACCACATTCAATTGAACTATTGTAATATTAAAAATGCTGCCAAACATTAACATACTATAATGCAAAGAAATTAGTAAACTTGAAACTTCATACAAAAAAATCTGAATTTTTACATTTATTACAATTCTGAAATTTCTTTTCTAAAATGCAGTTAGCTGACCAATTCTAAAAGAGAGTTTATAAATAAGACATTTTATATTTTCAAGTAATAATATCAGCGACAGTAAGGATTGTGACTAGTTGGAAAATAAAATCATTATGATATTTTAAGTATTGCTCCAATTCAACCACCCAGAAAATCATAATGCATAAAATTTGCGGATATTTAGTATAACATTCAGCTGTACAGAACAAGTCAGGTGGAAGATAAAGAATGAAATAGAAGAAAAAGCTACAAAAGGTGTTAAAGCATCTAACCTCTGCAAAGAACTGTGGGATGCTGGTCCTGATGAAAGGGCAAGACATAGGTTTCACATTACCAACTTAACTTTAGCAGCCTGTGCTCCTTGTTTCAATACACACACGATGCACTTGCACTAGGATTGCACAATATATTTTTTTAACATCTAAGTTGAATCTGCAATTATTACATTGCAGGTTGTGTGATGCCACATATGGGCTGTTTAAAACTGGTCACGCCATGTTTTTTTTGTTTTTTTTTCTGGTCTAATAGCTATTCAGTGGCGAAAAGAGCAGGCGTCAATGCCATCTGAAACAAATTTCGCAATCTATCTGGATTTCACAATCTGCATTTCTTCATTTAGAATTTTAGAATATTGAATTTGATGATTCAATTGTTTTTTTATCTTGTTAAGTGTCTGAATTCAGAACAAAAAAACTGCTGATAAAATTGTACTGGTGTTTATTAATTGAACATCATTGTCAATCACGCTAAAAAAAATAGTTTGGTGTGAAGTTTCAGTATAATTTTATTAAAATGTGTCTGCTGAGTGCAAACTTTTGAAGGAATGTCTATATGGTTATTTCCAATCAGGGCACACGTTTTGCACACACAAACAGGGAGTGAAGTGCACATGATGCAAGCATGACGAGTTTTCCAGGCGCACCTAGTTGAAAAACTCTCAACTTTCCAGAATGCAGAGTGTGCACCACGATTCATGTAAATATAACTAACTAATCTGTTTCACACTTTGTATGGAATATACACAATTCGGTAATAAAGTCAGACTAATTACCTCAGACAAGCACAGAGCACCCAAACACTGCATTTCTTTTTAATTCTCTTAGTAAATAAAATCTTGTATCGGATCCACAGCAATGAATTTTCCGTTTTTCATCCTCTGAGAAAATGATGGTAGCCTAGTTACAATAGACACCAGGGGAGCGCTTTTTTACATGCTTTTAGATATGGGAATGAACAACAATTAGGTTGCTTCATGGCCACTACAAATCCGAATAACTCAACCAAAAATAAGTGCCATGAAATAAGCAGTGAGGAGATTGCAAATAAAAAAGGATGTAAGGATGTCGCCAGAGTGGCTTTTTGGTTTCATTTTTTGCACATCCTAGCCACTAGCACCCCATCTGAAAATCGTTTTTTAGCATAGTGGTAATGTAGTCATCCAACTTCACATTTTGTAATGTTGCAGTATGTATTTGAATAATAATGGTTGGTTCCTTTACTTGAAAGCTCTGATTTGATAATTATAATGTGTTTTGTTTACAGTCTGAAGTTTACTGTTTCATTATTATTGGCACCCTACAGATGTCGATTTACCTTAAAATTTTGATTGTTCAGTAACTACACTTTACCATTGCACACACCTTGGAAAATTTTATTTAACATGTTTAGGAGTCTCTTTAACACTTTATTTTATTATAAGACATAAGAGATACAATGTTTTTGTTTATTTGGTTGTTTTTAATTAAAACTATTTGCCTTAGTAATGTTGGTAAATTAAAATAAAGTGGTTAAATAAATTAAAAATCCCAATTTTTCTAAATGGATTGTAAAAAAAAAAAAAAAATCAATAATTATTGATACTGAATGATATGAAACATTATATTGTGATAACTTTTTGCTGTATAGCCCAGCCCTAATTCAACAACATTTAATATTCAGTTTTATAAAATCACAATTGTTAAAAACTTAATATATAAACATATACAATATATATATATATATATATATATATATATATATATATATATATATATATATATATATATGAGGCGCCGTGTAGGATTTAAATCAAACTTTGCTTATCAACACACACATAAACACGTGCATATACACCTATAAATTACTCACATATACACCTATACTATTGGATGTTCAAAGCAACATATATGAAACTTGTGTATATACATATAAACTTGACGCACGCATACACCCACTCACACACGCGCATACATATAAACTCCATCTATGCATACACACCCACATTAACACACGCGCATACATATAAACTCCATCCACGCATACACACCCACATTAACACACGCGCATACATATAAACTCCATCTATGCATACACACCCACATTAACACACGCGCATACATATAAACTCCATCTATGCATACACACCCACATTAACACACGCGCATACATATAAACTCCATCCACGCATACACACCCACATTAACACAAGCGCATACATATAAACTCCATCTATGCATACACACCCACATTAACACACGCGCATACATATAAACTCCATCTATGCATACACACCCACATTAACACACGCGCATACATATAAACTCCATCCACGCATACACACCCACATTAACACACGCGCATACATATAAACTCCATCTACGCATACACACCCACATTAACACACGCGCATACATATAAACTCCATCAATGCATACACACCCACATTAACACACGCGCATACATATAAACTCCATCTATGCATACACACCCACATTAACACACGCGCATACATATAAACTCCATCTATGCATACACACCCACATTAACACACGCGCATACTTATAAACTCGGTCCTTGAATACACACACGCACATACATAAACTTGATCCTTCCACACACCCATAAAACAGTTGTACAAAATTTACATATATATATATATATATATATATATATATGTGTGTGTGTGTGTGTGTGTGTGTGTGTGTGTGTGTGTGCGCGCGCGCAAGTTATTTTATATGTGAATGCGCATGAATTTTTCACTTTAAAAGGAAGGTGTTTTAGTATAAAAGGAAGTTATCTCAGTTTATAAAATAGAAGTCCTTCAGTGTAAAAGTCCCAGCCTAAACGAAATGTATCATTATTTATAATTAAAAGCATGTATCAGGTAATTTCAATTAGTTGTGTTGTAGTGAAATCTATCCTATCGTTAAGCTTATGAAATATAAATAATGTGATTAATTGAGGTATTAAGTTTTTTGATTATTGAAAACATGACATGACTGCTCCAGCAAAATGTTTATTAAAAATCCTAAAATAAGTGAAAGCAGTAGGTTTAATTAATACAAAGTCACATATGAAGTATATCATTTTAGTTATTATTAGAATACATTTAGTCTAATAAGGTTTTCTTTATGGTGTCGCTATCCTTAATGGGTTATTTTGGTTATATTATGCGCTCCACACTTCAGTCCAGAAGGTGGCAGGAATGCACCTTGTTTGTTTGCCAGCTGCCATTAATCAAAAAATAAGACGAAGTAAGCTTGATTTTACCACGTTTCTGCATTTGACCACGATGAACAGTGATAGCGCCAACCTTACAGATGCGATTAACATTTTGCGAAATGTTCTTGCTTCGCCGACTATAATTAGATCCATATCTAATTCAGTGGATTCAAATGCGTCCCCTTCAGCTGAACTTCAAACAGAAACAGAATCTGAATTGCGCAATTTGTTTCGGCCATCTCGCGCTCAAAGCATCAGGCAATCAATGTCCGCCGGTGAAGGACCACGATACCATACTCGCCAGCAGTATGGCAATTGGCAGTCTCGGTCCAGAAAAAGGTAAGAAATAACATGAACTTTAAGTATGTGGTGGTGGGGGATATTGCACTAAAAGTTTATAAGTAAAAAGTTAGTTCGTCTAGCGAGCCTTCTGACCATCTTGCCTTTTCACGAGATAAGAAAGCCACGATCTTCACTTTGTCTTGCAATGCAAACGTGGAAATCGCAACAGTAATGCCCAGTTTCAGTCCCGCGCTTCCACCATTTTGGATTAAAAGCAAACCGGCGTCCACTGGAACTTATTGTTTTTTAAACGCATTAAAGCTGAAATACAACGTGAACGATATCAGTAACGTTAACTGTTACATAACATACGATCACTACATAAATAATCATCCAACAATAGTTTTTTTATAGACGTAACGTACGTGTTCTTTACACGTTAACAGTTAGTTCTCTCGAAACCTTTCTGAAAAGTCACTTTCCGTTAAAATTATTTGTAACGATAAAACATTAGCATAATACAAATGAATTCTGCGCTGGTTCGAGCCCCGACTGGGCCAGTATGCATTTATGTGTGGGGTTTGCATGTTCTCCCCCGTGTTGGCGTGGGTTTCTTCCGAGTGCGCTGGTTTTCCCCACACTCCAGAAACATGAGGCTACAGGTGAATTGGGTAGGCTAAATTGTCCGTAGTGTATGTGTGTGAATAAGTGTATATTGATGTTTTGATGTGTTGCAGCTGGAAGGGCATCCGCTGTGTAAAACATATGCTGGATTGGCGGTTCATTCCGCTGTGGCGACCCCAAAGGGACTAAGCTGAAAAGAAAATGAATGAATGAAAATTAGTTCTGAATAAATGTATAACAAATTGACAGTACAATGTTATTGCGGTGTAATGTTGTTATATTTTATAGGGTTTTTAAAAGGATCGAGTAAGGTGCCAATTGGTAATGTTGCGGAAATAAAATATAAAAATGTCATTAAGTTCTTTTCCCGCTAACAATTGAGCGCGTTTTTCTAATGGAACATTTTATATTCATGTGCTCAATAGATATGGCTGTGATTGTCCAACAAGGTGCCCCGCTCAAGTTTAATGCCGTCTTAAAGGTTCAGGACACCCCGGAGAACTTTTTTTTTTATATTAACAGATGTGTGTGTGTTGAGCATTAGTTAAGACAATGTTAGCACCTGTCAGCTTTAATTGTGGGGAAAACTGGATAATTTTGAGCTTTTGTCAGCTAATTTCAGCTTCTGGGTTTAAAATGATTATTGGGGCGGGATCAAAATCGGCAACGTAGCGCAGAACTGCAAGTGCAATGATGACGCGTCGGTTTCTCATTATTATTCATAGCGGAGATTTCTTATCCTATGAGAAGACCCTACTGCTTAATTATTCATCAGACCTGCCAGTGTCATGCCCGAGCTGAGAGACACGGAAACCACGGCACAGTATTGAGCCGTTCATGAAGGCTCATATGCGTTTGTTTCCATGATCCACGGGGTTTGTTGCATGTTTTCCCCCGCGATCTTGTCAGGGCCGATCATACAGCAAAGCTGTGTGTGTGCTGCTAGCATTTTTGTCGGGAGAGCAGCACGAGAATTAGAGAATGACGGACGCTGTCTTTTATCAGGAGTTCGTTCACATTCAGACACATCGCCGTGCTGCTGTGTTCCCCTAAATCCTCCAGATTACCAGCAGGGCTAATGGTTAAAATAGACAGGTCAGGAGACCTGCTGCACTGAGTCTGCTGGATACGGGGATTGAGGGAGAAGTCCTCATTTATAGTGTTTACATGAACACGATTATCTTTATAATGATATAAATTGTGGTTGTCTGTATATGAAATTACGAATAACAAATGTAGCAGGGCATTAAATCACTGTTCATTTCTTTGCATTTTAACTTTGTAAACTATAAACTCATGCGTCTCCTCTTTGTATCTCATTTTGTGAGCTAACGGACAACAGCAGTTATTCGCTCCCCTTCTCCCCTGCTGGCCACGCCCACTCCTGCCCGATGCTCGCGGAGCTCCACGCCCATTAATCATGCATCTTTTGAAAAAATTCTGAAGTAGACTTTAACTGAAAGAGAAGGGTGTCATGGCCCTTTAATGGAACAGCGAGGAGTCGTAGTATAGCCTTTAAAAACCAATTATGTTTATATTTTATCCCACTAGTGTAGAAAAAAATTGTAAAGATGTCAAGTATTTTATGACATATGCTGTTGAAGCTTGCTCTAAGCTCTTTGTTTTTACAGGCCCAGAGGACAATACCATCAAACTTTCAACAAAGACGTAATCTTGTTGACCTCTCCTAATGATAAAAATGTTGTTAAACAAAGGAAAAAACAGCGCTTGCATGAGATTGGACACATATTAAATGCTTTCGAATTTGAAAAAGCATGGGACAGTACTATGGTTTTAAGAAGAATTAAAGAAGGCTTCAAAGAGAAAGTGCCATTCGATGTAAGGTAAATGTTTTTCTTTTTCTTTAAGTTGTAAGTATTGTATTTGTATTACTGTGTATTCATGTTTTACTGAGTCATTATGTAATGATGCATTAATACCAATGATTTTCATTTTGTGTAGTTTGGAAATACTTATGGGATGTGGCAACAAGCTGATTAAACCACAGTTAACTGAAGGTCAAGAACTAGATGGCCGAATTATTTTAAAGGTCTTCAGGTTGAAGGCCTTGTATGTTAGACCCTCAAGACCACTACTCTTGGTAAGTCAGGTGTAATTGTTTAATTGAAATGAAACATATTTTTAGGATTATTTTTGACATAATTGTTTCTAGACATGCCAATATTTAATAATTCATTATATTGTTATGATGAACATGCACAGTTTGGATATCATGGGTACTTTAATGTAGTATGGATTATTAACTTCTTAAACTTTTAAAAGTGTTTTCAAGAATATTCAGATTGCAGGGGCGTAGCAACCGGGGGGACGGGGGGATATGTCACCCTCACTTTTAGAGACAGACAATTCAGAAACAGGAGCTTAGGAATTAAACTTCTGGATTTCATACAGCTGTCCCCCCACTTTTAAATTGTCCATCACGCCCCTGTCAGATTGTACTTGTAGTGGTGTTCATAACAGTGCTTAAAGGCTGCTTAATCTTAATAACTTTTTATGAACTTTTTATTTTAAATGAAGTTACAACTAATACAAGTTGGATTTAAACCTAAAATAACAGTAATAAATCTTTTTTTCTCTCTCTCTTCTTGCTGTTAATTTAATGCAGTACCCAAACATGGCTAATGAGAACTTTTTTGAAATAGTGTTACCTATATTTTACTTTTATAATCCATTTGCAACTTAATTTGGTAGAAATATTTGTTTTCTCTGGACATGAATATAAGATAAAGCAATACATTATGTATTCGTTGTTTATTATACCTGTTAAACTAACCTTGGTTTTCTGTACTGTATTATTTTTGAAGACTGAAACAGACTGCTCTGATGACAGCTGCTTTGAGGTTGACATGCCAGGTGAAAGTATCCACCAATCACCAGGAACTGCTTCTGATGAGAATATGAACACTGACTTCAATGACCAATCTTCCACACAAAACTCTGTGAGTGCCTGTTTTGATTTGATGCTTTTTTTTTGTATACTTCAGCCTAGGGCTGCACGATTCTGGCTAAAATGAATCACGATTTTTTTTTGTTGCTTAAAATCAAGTTCACGATTCTTTAGATGTAAAATAAAGGTTAGTATAAGTAGACTATTATTATTCTTGTTAATTCTCAAACATATCGTCACCTTGGAATTATAAGGTTTTCTCTGCGTTCTGAATGATTTTGAGATAATGAGCTTCAAAGTTTTTGCAACCCATATAGTAGTACAGTATGTGTGTAACATTTGCTTTTTTTTTTAAGTCTTAATGTAAGCAACGATGTAAAACATCCCATGTTGTAAATAAGTTTTCATTCAATAACTCAATTTTGACAAATGTCAGATGGAACCTTATTCTAAAGTGATGATATGGTAAAAAAACAACACTTATAATATTAGGCTTATGTGTAGGTGTACTGTTGCTTAATGCTAAATTCATTCATTTTCTTTTCGGCTTAATCCCTTTATTAATCAGGGGTCGTCACAGCGGAATGAACCGCCAACTTATCCAGCACGTTTTACGCTGCAGATGCCCTTCCAGCCGCAACCCATCACTGGGAAACATTATTTTTTTTCTTTGTGCCAACTTGGCCCATAGCCTATGTTATAAATAAGTAATGTTAACGCATATAAACGACTCATTCATGAAAAAAGACAAAAGAGCTGTGTGCATGTGCACATTTGGATAATGTTGGGCTTTAAACGGGCTTTTAAAAAAACTCAATCAAAATGTACTTGTTGGGTTCGGGCTCTCGGGGCTAACTTTTATAGCCTGATTACAGCTCTAGTTCAGACGCCCCCTCACAGTCAGCTTTAACAGTTTCATTTCACCACCAGACACCCAAAAGGCAGGTACTGTGGGTTATCCATACTGTGATGAGGCACAATTTATTAAAATCTAACGAGAACATTAAATTGAGTAGCCTATTCCAAAGAAATTATAACATTTTTGGGTCTTAAATTATATTTGTTGAGGTCTTAAAAACGTCTTAAAAAGTATGAAATTTTACTTTTGAAATGGTGCAAGAACCCTGTAAATGCAAAACTTTGTACAGTCATTATGGCAGACTTTAACAGACTTTCAATATGTCCTGTTTGTTAATTCACAGTTAAATGACATCTGAATACAACTTTTCATAATTATAAAATTGATTTATTATGGTGAAGACGTCCTTGCCATCTGCCATTGACAGCAGTAATAGACCATTTGTTTTCACTGGTAAAATTTGTCATTATCAGATTTCTTCTTGCATTATATACAACATTTTATAAGCTAGACTAGTTATACTGACTGTTAAACCTTTATTTTCTTGCACAACACTGTGTTAGCTATGAAAGAAAAAACATAAATGCTTGTCGTAATCATAACAGTTAAATGCATTATGATTACTTAAATTATGTGCGGCCAGGTTCATTTTCACTTCCTAGCGCAGCGCATGGCTGCCGTCACTGTAATAAAACATATACACATGCAAATCATTCTTTAAGCGCAGCTATCAAACCATCGCTCTGTGCAACAAACTAAATGTTATTAACAAATTTTATTACCTAACTTTAACTTTATTCACAGCCTATGCAGGTTCTGTTTGCTAAAGTAGCTGTTATTGGCGTGCTGCATGCGTGCGCGTTCACGGCAGTAAACAAACAGCCTCACGGTCAGCTCACGTGTGATTGCGCGGTAGTGAATACATCATTACATGAAGACAGAAATGACATTGCTGGGTGAATTATACCTTTATAAATACAGTATATGACACTTCTAATGCCATTTGAAGATGTTCATGTTCCTGTGTAGACTTGTGCGATTGCTTTTTTGCTTCTCTCCTGACCTTGAAAATATAATTGGCTGAATCGTAGAAAAGCTGAATTAAGATTGTGTGTAGGGTCGAATCGAGATCGTTATCTTTTTCGATTAATCGTGCAACCCTTTTTCAGCCTTATCTAATGTACACTCCATCTTGTCTTTCTTTTCAGTCCTCCACCAGAGTTCAGTCATCCACAAGAACTCAATTCTCCACCAGTTTCAGCAGTGCACAGCCCTCCACAAGTTCCAGCGACACACAGCCTTTCACTAGTTTTAGTGGTGTACAACCCTTCACCAGTTCCAGCAGTGTGCTGCCCTCCACAAGTTCCAGTGGTACACAGGCCTCCACCAGTTCCAGCAGTTTGCCGCCCTCCACCAATTCCCGCGGTTTGCAGCCCTCCACCCTTTCCAGCGGTGCGCAACCCTCCACCAGTGGCCAGCTTTGCACTAGACGTAACGCACCAGCTCAATCCTGGAACACGGACCAGTCCTTTAGATCTGCTTCCTGGGATGGTGATTATGATACCTACATTTCCCTCCTCCGGGGAACGTCTGAAGATGAGGAAGAAGATGAAGATCTTTGCTGCGCTATAATGGCCAGCATTGAGGACCAGATGTGAGTATTATTTGTTCTAATTTAACAAATAAATCACAAGTAGCATGTCATTTTTAAATATATTGAAGTATTACACTTAAAAGCACAAAAACAAAACGACAAGAAAAATCAATGGCCATTGTTATGTTAAAGCCAATTTTGTAATCAGCAGTAAGTCTCCAGCACAGGCTTTTAGATATAGATTTTAGATAATATACATTTATATATTTTGAATTGGATTGATATGTTTTTATTTCATAATAAAATATAAATAATATATGATGTTCTTCAGATTTCCCCCAGCAGTTGAAATCCCAATAAAGGAAATACTGGAGGAACTTGCATCAAAAATAAATGGCAACCAAACCTGCAAGTTTAATATTAATCGTGCATCTGTGTTGGATGGTGCTATACGGGGATTTACGCGAATGTCCTACAGTCCAAATAACAGAATGGTCATTAGGTTCTCCGACGATAAAGGAAAGTTTGAAGAGGCTGTTGACTTGGGCGGCCCTAGACGAGAATTTCTACGACTCCTCCTGGTGGCACTAATGGAGTCATCAATGTTTGATGGAAAAGAGGGCAGTATAAACTTGGCACTTGATTCACAAGGTATACATTATATTTTTTGTAAAGATTTAATAAGTTGTATTCCATGTTCCATAACTTATATTTTAAATCTTTTAACGCTGTTGTATTGACACTTCTTCTTTAATTTTATGTCAGCCATGAGGGAGGACAGATATTTCATTGCAGGGAGAGCAGTTGCAGTCAGTCTTGTGCATGGAGGACCTGCACCTGGTTGTTTTTCAAAAACGCTATATGACAGTTTAGTTCAGGGACCAGACATGTGCAGACCTGGCTTGGAGGATGTAGCTGACCCTGAGATTTATAGTAAAATAAAAAAGGTTAGGTTACAACTGTTTAAAGTGTTCATCATGGATTCTCTCATTTACTTCAGTATGTTCCATCTATATTAAAGACATAGCTTAGTTTTAAAATATTGTTTATAGAAAAGTTTCTCTGGTATACTTGTAAATAAATTTGAAATGCACGTGCTATTTGTTTGCATACAGCTTTCTGAAGCCTCAACTGTGGAAGAGCTACGAGAGTCAACTGAGCCCATCATGGACTTCCTAGCCAATGCTGGTTGTCTTAGACCTATAAAGAACATTGATGACAAGGACAGGCTAGTTGAAGATCTGCTTATGTTTCAAGTGGTGAATCGTGTCCGTGGACCATTTGAAAGGTTTGTTATAAATAATTTAATAACGACTTAATTCTCTTGTAAAGACTGTGACAACGCACCTATTTTTTATGCTTTATATTAAGCCAAGCTAATATAGGTCCCTATTATAGGTTCAGAGATGGCCTGAAAACACTTGGTGTCCTTGCTAAAGTCCAACAACACCCGGAATCGTTTAGGTCCTTGTTTTGTCACCAGCCAAAGCAGCTGACTGCAGACATGATGGATGACCTGTTTGAAATACAGTGGTCAGAAATTGGGAGCAACAAACGGGCTAATGAGAACAGGGTAATTGCCTTTTGGAGGGACTACCTGCAGGATGTAGAAGGTAACTTTTTTTTTTTTATAAATATAAGAACTTTACACATTTAATTAAGTTACAGACAATAAAGTAATGCTGCAATCTGTGTTGCTCATTCTTTCTTTGTCCTAGCAAATATTTTGCCTCTGTTCATTCTGCCATCTGATTGGTCAAATATGGACAACCTCTACATGTAACACAGGTTATTGCAGCGCTTTGCAACAGGCATATTGCATATACAGGGAGTGTAGAATTATTAGGCAAGTTGTAGTTTTGAGGAATCATTTTATTATTAAACAACAACCATGTTCTCAATGAACTCAAAAAACTCATTAATATCAAAGCTGAATATTTTTGGAAGTAGTTTTTAGTTTAGTTTTAGCTATTTTAGGGGGATATCTGTGTGTGCAGGTGACTATTACTGTGCATAATTATTAGGCAACTTTACAAAAAACAAATATATACCCATTTCAATTATTTATTTTTACCAGTGAAACCAATATAACATGTCCACATTTACAAATATACATTTCTGACATTCCATTCAAAAACAAAACAAAAACTAATTAGTGACCAATATAGCCACCTTTCTTTGCAAGTACACTCAAAAGCCTGCCATCCATGGATTCTGTCAGTGTTCTGATCTGTTCACCATCAACATTGCGTGCAGCAGCAACCACAGCCTCCCAGACACTGTTCAGAGAGGTGTACTGTTTTCCCTCTTTGTAAATCTCACATTTGATGACGGACCACAGGTTCTCAATGGGGTTCAGATCAGGTGAACAAGGAGGCCATGTCATTAGTTTTTCTTCTTTTATACCCTTTCTCGCCAGCCATGTTGTGGAGTACTTGGACGTGTGTGATGGAGCATTGTCCTGCATAAAAATCATGTTTTTCTTAAAGGATGCAGACTTCTTCCTGTACCTCTGCTTGAAGAAGGTGTCTTACAGAAACTGGCAGTAGGACTGGGAGTGGAGCTTGACTCCATCCTCAACCCGAAAAGGCCCCACAAGCTCATCTTTGATGATACCAGCCCAAACCAGTACTCCACCTCCACCTTACTGGTGTCTTGAGTCGGACTGGAGCTCTCTGCCCTTTACCAATCCAGCCACGGGCCCATCCATCTGGCCCATCAAGACTCACTCTTATTTCATCAGTCCATAAAACCTTAGATAAATCAGTTTTGAGATATTTCTTAGCCCAGTCGTGACGTTTCAGCTTGTGTTTCTTGTTAAGTGGTGGTCGTCTTTCAGCCTTTCTTACCTTGGCCATGTCTCTGAGTATTGCACACCTTGTGCTTTTGGGCACTCCAGTGATGTTGCAGCTCTGAAATATGGCCAAACTGGTGGCAAGTGGCATCTTGGCAACTGCACGCTTGACTTTTCTCAGTTCGGGCAGTTATTTTGCACCTTGGTTTTTCCACACGCTTCTTGCGACACTGTTGACTATTTTGAATGAAACGCTTGATTGTTCGATGATCATGCTTCAGAAGCTTTGCAATTTTAAGAGTACTGCATCCCTCTGCAAGATATCTCACTATTTTTGACTTTACTGAGCCTGTCAAGTACTTCTTTTGACCCATTTTGCCAAAGGAAAGAAAGTTGCCTAATAATTATGCACACCTGATATAGGGTGTTAATGTCATTAGACCACACCCCTTCTCATTACAGAGATGCACATCACCTAATATTCTTAATTGGTAGTAGGCTTTCGAGCCTATACAGCTTGGAGTTAGACAACATGCATAAAAAGGAGGATGTGGTCAAAATACTCATTTGCTTAATAATTCTGCACTCCCTGTAGTAAGTTTTTGATATCGTGCAACCATACTGTAATACGAAAGTTGGAATTTTTTTAATCTACTATTGCACCTTTAAGTGTTCCGTTGGCTGACAGTGACATTCAAGGGGTTACAAATATCAGAATTTTTTAGCTTATTTCATCAGTGACTAAATCTATGATGTATAAATGTTTCTTTTTACACCAAGGACAGTAATTGGTTTATACACCTTAAATATGAAGTGATGAAAAAATTTAAATGAAGGCAATGCGATGCATTAGGAGCCAGGTCAAAAGCAAAAGATAGCCATTAACAGCTATCAGAAACATGAAGGGTGTTAATTGTTCAAGTAACATCATGCATCAAAAACAAAAAACAAGCTTTCTGCTATTCTGTAATTCAGTTACTTTTTTGTTGTGTATTGTCTGAAAATGTCATGTAAAGTAGCATGGTCAAGACAGAACACATTAGTTTTTATTATACCTTTTTAATGTTTACATTTGCAGGTTTCATAAAGGGTATTGCTTTCTTAATACTGCAACAGTTTTGCAGTTATTTTCTTGACTAGCTGAATATACTGTATAGTTGTTGATATTTTGCTTTTTTTTGTTTACTCAAGAGGAAGGAGCACAGAGGCTTGGCGCGATCTTATCCTTTACCACTGGATCAGATCATGTCCCACCAATTGGATTTCATCCCCAGCCTTCCATTGCCTTTCACCATGACTCTGAACTTCTACAAAGATTTCCAATAGCCAATACTTGCATTAACTGCCTTCGCCTGCCTTTATATAGCACCTATGGTGCTTTTAAAAGCAACATGGAATTTGCTATCAACAATACACATGGATTTGGCAAGGAGTAAGAGAGACTTAAATGCCAAGATGTTAATATTAAGCCAGGGTTCTTATTGAAGCAATAGATTGCAAGAGATGGTTCACCCAAAAATGTAAATCTACTCACTATTTATTCACCACCAAGTGGTTCCAACCGTGTTTGACTTACTTTCCTTTGTTAAACATTAAATAAACTAATTTGAAGAACTAGACTTGTAACTATTAACTTCAAAAGTAGTTTTTAAGTGGTTTCAGGTTTTCAGTATTTTTTAAAATATAACTTTGTTTGGCAAAACAAATTAAGTAAACATTTTGAATAAGTGAAGGATAATTAAATAATGGCAGTTTTCATTTTTGAGTGTACTGTCCCTTTAATAATTTTCAGCAATGTTACAATTAATCTTAGCAGTTCATGTTTCAACATTAAAGGGCTAGTTTATATACAAATAATTGTCATTTACTCTTTACTCTTCACTTTTCAAACCCGTTTGAGTTTCTTTGGTTAAAGGGTTTAGCTTTATTCAAAATGTTTTTTGTTCAATAGAAAAAAAAAATCTCAAAGGTATAGAGCCAATTGAGGGTGTGTAAAAAGTGATAAACTATCCCTTTAACTAGGAATTAACATTTTCAACCTTTATGCTAACATGTTAATGTGCCAGTGTTCTTGAGGCATTTGTTTAACTCATTGTTAGGAAGTTTTCATCATTTTTGATCAATCCTAACATTACTTTTTTTAACTGATGTTTTCCATGTTTTTACAAGCATTTGTGTAATACATTTGTAAATGCATGTTTATGGATTAATTACATAACATTTGCTGTGTAGTAAATAAAGCATTTGCAGGAATAAATTGCAATAAACACTTGCATTACAAACATTGTTACTGTGTCTCAACCTGTTGTCTTACCAATAATTGTACAAGCGCCAAAAACAGATCAATTCCATGATTTCCATCATCTTGCAATGGGTTAAATGTTTCGAGAATGTTTTCCATTGTAGTGTCATTTGGGTGGTAAATATTTTCAGGAACTACTATATTATTCCTGCTCTGCAGTTCTGGAATTGGTCGGTTTTCGTTGACGTCCCAATGATCATCACTTTCGAACACACCAGATATAGCAGTGTTGTTAATTCCAATATGGCTAACCACACCTCTGTGCCATAACTGCAGAGGGGTTTGTCCTCTTTCACTTGAGAGTCCATGGTTATTCCACATTTCCCTAAATTCCCGAACTGCCCTCTGGATCCGAGGCAAGTAAATAAAATGCAAACAGAACACGTGAAGCTCACACAGAGAATCCAGTATACCGTGGTCCTCCATGAAAGTAAACAAGTCCGAATAATAATATGAAACAACTCTGTTTAACTCTGCCCATAAACGTTCAATTCGTTGATTATGGACACTGCGGCCCGTAATGACACTCCCTCTATTTAGTCCTCTTCTATTTAACATGTAGCGCGCAACCTCTGTGTTCTCCATGCCGTGGTCGCATCTAACCCTGGATGGTAAACCAAAGTTTTGAACCCCTTCTTGGAACAACGACAAAACACTTAATGCTCTATTGTTGTTCAGACACTCAAGATAAACAATACAGCGACTATATCCGTCAACACACTCGTGGAAAACCAGTCTCCATCTGACCAGTTTATGATTTCCGTCTATATGCCTGTAAAGAGAGACCACTCATTACACGTTTATATGCGTGTGTTTCATTGTACCGTTTTATGTCTTGTAGAATAGCCTCTTAGGGTAATTTATTAACATTATTAACATTAACACTTTATAATAACTAAACACTATGAACCATTTATTAAGCATTAGCAAATTGTGAATTCATTATCGGTTAAACATTAACTCTACATATTAATAAACGTTAGTAAGCAGTTTATAACTGAACCTACAAATGCTGTATTCCTGACTTATAACCACATCTATAATGTGCTCACTAACTTTTATACTTTGTTAATGATTTATTTTTCATTTTTAAATTAAGTATTGCGTTATTTACAAACCAGTTATTTAAGCATAGTTGGTTGTTTTTAAGATGATTCAGAATGAGTTAGTAAATTATTTATAAACTATTCAAATTTACATTTATAATTCTTATTATTCCAGCATATACTAATAGTTAATTTGTGTGTTAAGAAATGCTTTATTAACTCAACTTCATCCAGTTTTGTGACAATCTGTGAGGACTATTTATGCTATAAATCCCGTATAACTGACTATTAAAGACTCAGTTAAATTCGAAAAAGGAAAAATTACATAAATTACATTATTCATTCCTATTTGTTTGAAGATACACATGTGAAAAAATTCTTTGCAACCTTATCTAAAATAAAAATAATGTAAAGTTTAAACTTTGCATCCTATTATATTGTTAAATTATGTTAAATTATTATATTGATGTTGTTTTATCCAAATATGTTGTATTTTGACACTCCTGTTATTTGGCAATATTTGAACTTTACAGTAATTTTATTTTATTGCAAATATTATTTTTCTTTTGATACTGAGCCTATAATTGTCATTATAAGGGATTTATAAAGCATGAATAGTCATCACTATAAGTCAGAAAACTGCATGAAGTTTAGTTAATAAAGCATTATTAACATATATAAGCATTAATATCTGCCTGAATAATATGAATATATAAGCGTTGATTTCAATAGTTTATTAATCATTTACTAACTCATTCTGAAAAATCTTAACCACATAGGCTACTATTGAAAACAAATGGTTTGTAAATAATGCAATACTTCATTAAGTAATGAAAAATAAATCATTAACAAAGTATGAAAATACAATTAGTAAGCACATTATAGATGTGGTTATAACCCAATACAGCATTTGTAGCTGCAGTTATAAACTGCTTACTAACGTTTATAAATGTAGAGTTAATGCTTAACAGATAATTAATTCACTATGATATGCGTAGTAGTCTAAATGATTCATAGTGTGTAGATATTATAAAGTGTTAACCCTTAATTTACTAATGTACATTTCAATTAAGTTGTCAAACTGCTGGACATACCACAATTGGTTAGGTGTTTGCACAGAATAAATTCTTCTTCTGACAGCACGTCGGCGCCTTAGAGACCTTCCAATAGGATCTATCTCATGTAAACTTTGTCGGACCCTCCGACGCTGGATGTGGATGGAGCGAGACCGGAGACTGCCCAGAATGTAGGTCTCGCCTGCATTTGGGGTTCTTTGTAAAATCTCTCTGACAAGAGTGTTTAATTCATTGTTAGACAGCTCTGCAAATTCCAACGGTCTGATTCCAAGACGCTGCCTGTGTTGAAACAAAGTGCGGCGGTCTATTGCTAATAAGGAAGCAATTCCCTGCCAGTTAAACCCAAGTCGCAGACAATGGCAAAGCTGCTCATGTGAAATGTCATAGCGGGGACGACCTCTGTGGCCTGTCCTAGATGTCGGTGGTGGGACTGCTCCTGCTGAGGCACCTCTTCCAATTTCAAGCGATGTTATTTGGCGCAGTGTGCGGTACAGCGTCTCGAGAATTAAGATGCATTCTCTAGATTGGGGATTTCCGTTACGAACTACGGACAAAAGGCTGTAAATTGTATTGGCATGATTATCCAAGTCACGACAAAGCGACTCTCTCGGCTCTTGCTGTATACGCGTTAAGCAATGTAATACAATATTAAAGAAATCGACTATATCATCTTCATTGCAATTGGCACAAGTAAATAAAGCACCGACAAACGCCACGGTTAACAAGATCACTCTGAAATTCATGTTGATTTGCTCGAGAAAAAGATCACTTAATGCCTTCCGTTTGAACTGACATGCCTTCCGTTCACACTGAAAAGTTACGCACATCCACATATATGCAGGTGATTTATATGCATATACACAACTTTGTATATCTTGTTTTAGATGTTTGCTCTACTGTTTAATTGGTGTTCATGCATGTTGGGAGTTGTATGCGCGTGTGTTAATGTGGGTGTGTATGCGTAGATGGAGTTTATATGTATGCGCGTGTGTTAATGTGGGTGTGTATGCGTAGATGGAGTTTATATGTATGCGCGTGTGTTAATGTGGGTGTGTATGCATAGATGGAGTTTATATGTATGCGCGTGTGTTAATGTGGGTGTGTATGCATAGATGGAGTTTATATGTATGCGCGTGTGTTAATGTGGGTGTGTATGCGTAGATGGAGTTTATATGTATGCGCGTGTGTTAATGTGGGTGTGTATGCGTGGATGGAGTTTATATGTATGCGCGTGTGTTAATGTGGGTGTGTATGCATAGATGGAGTTTATATGTATGCGCGTGTGTTAATGTGGGTGTGTATGCGTGGATGGAGTTTATATGTATGCGCGTGTGTTAATGTGGGTGTGTATGCATAGATAGAGTTTATATGTATGCGCGTGTGTTAATGTGGGTGTGTATGCGTGGATGGAGTTTATATGTATGCGCGTGTGTTAATGTGGGTGTGTATGCATAGATGGAGTTTATATGTATGCGCGTGTGTGAGTGGGTGTATGCGTGCGTCAAGTTTATATGTATATACACAAGTTTCATATATGTTGCTTTGAACATCCAATAGTATAGGTGTATATGTGAGTAATTTATAGGTGTATATGCACGTGTTTATGTGTGTGTTGATAAGCAAAGTTTGATTTAAATCCTACACGGCGCCTCATATATATATATATATATATATATATATATATATATATATATATATATAAACTGTCTATTGTTTAAAGCCCTTTTTATTGTATTGTTATATTTTATTGATATACTCATACTTTGTTTATATTATTCCACATGCATAAATTCACTCCAAATAAATCTATTCAGGTCAACTTAAAAAAATATATATTTTCAGATAATGGTCTGCCCTTGCTTGCACACAGCACAGACAAACTATTTGTACAATTTTCTCTTTAATATTGGAATTACATCTTACCGCAGGGTGGTCTCTGCCCAAAGTCTTCTCTCTGATTGCCAGTGCATCATTAAGAAGGTTTGCTGCCTCTTTATATTTATTCTGGTCCCTAAAGAGCAGAAAACACATACAAAACAATATTGCTACTTATTGTGTAACAAAGGGCTGTTGCTAAGGTATTTCTAACAAAAAAAGCTGTTTCCAAGGCAACAGGATGATGGCACAATAGACTAATGTCCCAACGGTCTGCAAACCGGATATTAGCATAGCTTACAACAAAGGTTATGGGTGATGAGCTAAAGCACGGTACATACAGCATTCTGATGCAAAAGAAGATCTTTCAGAAATCATATTATCATACGCCCATTTGCTGCTGTTATTATCAATATTGAAAACAGTTGTGATTCTTAATATTATCTGTGACAACTGTGGTTCATTTATTTCAGGATTCTATAAAGAATAAAAATTTTTAAATTGGGCATTTATTTAAAATAGTATTTTTTAAACAGTATAATTTGTATTGTGTTTTAATGTGTCTTTCCTGAGCAAAAGTATTAATATCTTACAAAGGAAAAAACATACTGACAAAAAAAAAACACATTTCAGGCATTGTGTACTAAACAGTACTTATTTCATGCTTAAAATGATACATTAAACAGATGTTGTTGTTTTTTTGGTGTATTTAGTTGTTAGCCGACCTGTAGACGAGAGCGAGAATGTTAAGCATGGTGGCTACATCGGGATGATCGTGTCCAGATGTTTTCTCCAGATCTTCAAGAGCCTGTTTGCAGAGAGGAACGGCCACCTCATACCTGCCTTGTGAGGCATACTGGATCACCAGGTTGTGAAGGGTTCGAAGACGAGCAGGGATCTCATAACCACCCTGCTGAGCTGCTGCCACTGCACTGCTGTGAGGAGGCTGGACTGGGAGAATAGAAGAGAACAAAAGTACACTGAAGTAAAATTCATATAATGTGATACAAATCTAAAAACTTGTTCCTTTTTTATTAGTAAAAACCAACAGAAAGTGAAGAAACTGTTGCAGAGAGTCTAGGAAAAGTCCCTAAGAAATCAAAACTAACGATATGATTTTGTTAGCGTACACTGCTAGTTCTGTGGTGAATTATTCATCCGTGCATGTCATTAGGGAAAAAAATTGTTTGCACTGCCATAATCTTTCAAGGGCACCTATAGTAAAAAATCTACTATTCAAGCTGTTTGGACAGACATCTGTGTAGGTATAGTGTATAGGCCGTCATATTGGGGTGATATAAACACACCCAGTCCTTTTTTTTTTATTTAACAACATCAAAAATGGTGGACCAATTGGAGCTGTTTTTAGATCGACCGCAACTTGACGTAGGAGTGCGGTACCCCAGCCCACCAATATCGATTGACTGCAACAAATTACCATATCCTAGGTTTGTTGTTTCACATCAGCCATTTTCAGCGTGAGAGTCAAAGCGATGTCACTAGGAACACCCTTGCTCTATTCTTAGATGTAAGGCTCATTGGGCTTAACACAAGACCAACATTCACCACATGAACGGTGTAATCGGAATTATCGTTTGTAACTTAGTTTGTTTGTAGGTAGGTTAGCAAACATGTGTACTGTTTATTGCGTCTACCTTAAACTTCATCTGTTTCTCGTGGTCACAGAAGCTCCCTGTGATTTTAACTAGGTACAGCTGGAAAGTGCGAGCTTTCTGTCAGGGTACACACAACAGCGCTTCCAGCCGGTGGCTGTCCGTGGCGCCCAGCCACGATTCAGGGCACTTCATATTTCTGTCGCGCCACAGAGCGCCATCTGAATAGTTTCGTTTTAAATAACATGCGAATGTGCGTGTCTGGTGTTCCGTGTCGCGGCTCTGAGTGGCGCATCTGGTGCCTCGGTCAAAGTTAATTTAGTGTGCATGGTTATTAGTCTCGGTGTACAAGCTCGGAACTTTAAACTAGCAGTTGGCTGTAAAACTATACAAAGACACAAATGATTTTGTACTCTCTACTTGGTCTGTGTCCGAGTCGTACATGTACGGCGGAATGCTGGTCCTCTCACTCATGTTGCATCTCTCTGTCTGCCTGTCTCTTGCCAAACACAAAGCGGCGGAGCTCTTGGCTGAATCTGAAAATGCACTTCCTGTTTGTTTTTAGTTGATTTATCAGATTATTACATTGAGGTAATGGGCGTGGCTAATGCTGCTCCAACTGTCAGTTGACAACAAACAGAAATGGTGAGGAGGAGGAGTCTGTTAGGTTGTAATAATCTTCTAAAACCTAAAACTGGAGCTGGGAACACTTTCGAAGAAGACATTAAAATTTAAGTGGCATCTACCCTTTTTTTGTCCATTTCTTCTTAAGGCTGATTTATATGTTGCTGATTTATGCATTGCTGATGTCTACCCTGACACTCACCTTTCAAAAAATAATAATAATAAATTACTACACGTTGCATAGCACAAGCTCTGTGAATGGTCAGCTTGATATCATTAACAAATGTGGGCAGGGCGAGAGTTGTGGGAGAGGAAACAAGTCTTTAGCTTTTATTCCGAGGTCTAATCTTGGATCCAGTATTTTAAGTAGATGGCTGTTGTGGTGATGGATGAGTTAAGATAATAATACTTAATAATAATGTGTTCTTGTTTCTTGTGTGTCATGTAGATAAATGTAATTTAATTTGCTTTTATTTATTTACTTGTTTTGTACATGTATTCATTTCGAAGGAGTGGATAACTGCCTGAATCAGCAATAACCTATCAAATATATCTTCTTGTGTTTAAAATAAATCTCTTAAATTACTTAGCTGGAAGAGCACAATAATTTGCATTTATCTTGATTAATTTTCAAGCTAAAACACATTGCAAATCAAAATTATTAAATAAGCAAAAATAAATAAATCAGTCGAAAGTTGATAATACTTAGTCGAATATAAGTTAAAAAAAAACTGCCATGTCTCCATGTGATAGTATCAAGTATCAGCAATCTCACAGAAGGATGACATGGTGATTGGAAAATGTAGTTTAGCTTGACTGTATATCTGCTGCTGTCTCTTTGCAACGTTAAATAAACAAGGAATAACTAAAGACATGGCAAAATGAAAGTAAAAAGATACAGCACATTCCCAGCACTTCAGGAATGAGGAGAAGAGATTAATGCAATATTTTTCAGAGAAGATTTATGTCATTCCCTTTGAAAAACTCAGCTGGAAATCATTTGCTGCAGGGCAGCATCACTGACAAGGAAACAGCCGCCTGGCATTCATGTGTCAGAATGAGGGTTAATCTGAGTGCGTTCACGATTCAGCGGTGTCAGACTGCAACACATGACACCAAAAATATCAGTGCACTGAGGAGCTCTGAGCCACAACCCGACCCACACTGCCCTTTGATCTCACTCCACAGTCAATGAGCCAATTATCAATTATTCTATCAGAAAAATAAAGGAAGTGACTGGAAGGAGAGTAATTCAAGACAGCAAACTCTCTAGCTCACGCAGAAACAAGGAAAGAACTCTACTTCAACATTTTTTCCTCTCAATAATACTATTTCTTTTAAATCATCAATAATTTGTATTACATTTATTGACTGTTTTCATTTAAACTAGGGAATAAATCCAATGTTTTTCCATATTTACAAACATGGACACAAGTATAAATATATAGACATATTCAGCATACATTATTATACAAAGACTCTTATACTATATATTTTTAGCAAGTGCCTATACATTTGTCTAAGTCAGGGGTTCCCAAACTTTTCAGGCCAGGCCCCCAAAATGACAATGCCAGTGACTCGCGACCCCCACATTCCTATAAGGTGATTATAAATATAGAAATATAAGAAAACAAAAGCATATTAAGAACACAAAAAAGTGCAACAGTCTAACAACCACAGGCTATAATTTATATGATCATTTATTATTTGGTTTAATTTAATATTAATCTCAAGTAATGAGACTGGTGGGTACAATGTTTTTAGCTCAAGTTTATTCTTGGTTTAATTTTGGGGACTGCCACTCAGAGATCACCCTCAATGTTCAGTTGTGGCCAGTATTTATTTTTAATGTATTTAATTGCCATAAAGGTGTCAGAAAGTTTAACCTGGTACAATAAAATCTAGCTTAAACACACAATCCTTCGAAAAAAAAATTAAAAGGCTTTTTATTTGCATGTTGTTGCTTTTTTATATAACTAGTATTATATAACTATTATATAACTATAGTACTATTTTTTATTCATTTATTTAGGTTTTAATGCCATATCAGCAGCATTGGCTATTTTCATGGCAAAAATATACTACTAAATGTACAATATATAATCATATAATCATATCAATTTCTTAACAAACATACATTGTAAAGAAAAAAAACAACAACAAAACAATCCACATAGCAACAACACGGAAGAAGAGTCATATATAATCTTATAGTTTTATTAAAGATAAATACTCTAAAATTGTTCCAGAAGGTACCTTTTCAAACATTTTACTTAATATATCTACCGAATAAAAACGTTAATCTACTATTTTTTAGGGCTGTCAAAATTAGCATATTAATTAATTTAATCAGCGTGATTAATTTGAATATTTAACACATTAAAAAATAAAGCAAATGACACAGTTGCAGTTTTTTTTTTTTTTCGGTTGTAGCCGACGTGTGTTCAGGGATGGCGCGTGCATTGAGGCGACCTAGGTGGCTGGCTTGGGCAGCAGAATAGTGAGCGAACCCACCAGTCCTCACTTTCATCCGCTACACCCACCCCCTCCTTCACCATCCTTACTTTCATCCGCAAAAAGATCACTTTCTGGTTGAGGGCGGCTTGATTGCCGTTTGCCTAGACCGCCAGTTCAGCTTGCTCTGACCCTGCGTGTGTTTAATGCCTAGTTCAGACTGCGTGATTTTAGCCCTGATTTTGGCTCCCGGCCGTGAAAACATCATTATAGTAAGACAAAAATTAATTTTTTTGGTGAATTATACCTTATAAATACAGTATGTGACTCATTCATCATCATTTGTCAATGTCACTGAGCAATGTATGTGAAACAATGAAAAGACTCGTGCAGCCGCCTTTTCTTCTCTCCTGAACTTAAAAATATGATTGGCAGAATTGTAGAAATGCTGGATTAAGATCGTCTAGGGGGGGTCGAATCGAGATCGCTATCTTTTAACGATTAATTGTGCAGCTCTAGCTCCAACTCTAATCAAACACACCTGAAGCAGCAAATTAAGCTCTTACTAGATACAGTGGGGATTGAAAATTTGTATTAATGTGCATAAAGAAGCCAAGGAAAGATGGAAAAATCTCCAGAAGGCATCAAATTACAGATTAGACATTCTTTTAATATGTCAAAAAAGTATGTCAACAACAGCACGAATAATAATAATATAAAGCTCACTGTCCTGAAAGCTTTTTTGAGTGCATTTATTTAAATGTTTAGTATATTTTAAGATCACATAATCAAATTTTTTTAAATTTGCAATACATTTTTAAAACATTTTACTAGGGGTCTAAGACTTTTAGGGCTCTATTTTGCAAAATGCAAAGCGCAGAGCGCAAACGCATTAAGGGCATGTCGGAATTCACTTTTGCTAAAATAAGGATGGAAAAATCCACTTTGCGCCGTGGTAGATGATCTAAAAGGGTTGAGCTTATTTTCTTAATAAGTTATAGGTGTGTTTTGAGAATAAACCAATCAGAGTCTCATCTAGCAAGAAAACAGTTAAACAGAGCATCTGCAGTGCGAGAATGAGAGATAAGGCCTCGCATTATCTACTTTCACTTTCGCTCTCGTGGATAGGGTAACCTTGTACGCACAGACATCCATTAGCCTATACATAGTTAATTTTGTTTGCTAAGCGCAAAGATTTGTTTCAAAACTATTTATAAATTCAGTTCTAATTTCCAGCAAACGAATAAATGAACAATAATAATGAAGTGTGCTCAAAAAACTGAGTTATATCCAAATACATATGCTGTGCCCCATATGGTCTGAAACCTGCCAGGTGGGCAAATCTAAGCTTGTTTTTAATAAAACAGATATAAATATGGATATAATAAATAATACTGCTAATATTAATAACATTATACCAAAGAAAATTATCACGAATAAACTGAAAAAGCCGCCTAGATGAAAAAGGCATGAAAGTATGGTTTTTAAATTTTTATAGGCGAGAAAATGTTTTATATTATTTTAATCCTTCATATTTATATCCTATATATATCCTAATTATATCCTATATATATATCCTTAATATTTGTATTCTTTTTCATATGTAAAGATATTTGCGTAGCGTATTGCTCTACATCTTGTGTGTATTAAGCAGTGAGTAAGCGAGGAGCACACAACTAACGCGCTCTGCGCTGGACTTTAGACCGGCTTTGTTCTGGTCTATTGAAAAATCTATAATAGTTTTTTTTAAAATAGCAATGCACCAGCAATGCGCCTTAGAACGCCTTCCTTTTTAGACCAGAATGCCTTTGGGCGCACATATGAGCGCAAATGCATTTGCTATTTAAACAGAGTGGCACAAAACGTCAAAACAACTCTTGCACCAAGCTGAAACTAGCAAACAATAATTCCGTCGCGCCTTGTGCCACATTGCGCCTGGTGTATGATGGCCCTTAGAGTCTAAATTGTTACTAACTAAATCATGGTGTTTCAATAGTACTTAATAATACTCAATAATGATACTTAAGTGTTTATACTAGAAGTACATCAACATCTTGAATTTAACTAATGTCTCTTTTATCAACTGTTCAGAACTGAGTGCTTCTAAAGTACTTACTGCCAGGTCCAGGCTCATCCTGCTCATCTGGGAAAAGATCATCCAGTGTCTCCCTGCTGGAATCAGAGTCCTTATCATCCTGAACAGAAAGTGTTAGAAAGAGAGAAGCACAAGGTAAGACTAAAAAAAACAGAAAATATGGTAAATGTCATAGGGAAAATAAGGTGAGGGCTCACTGATGGGCTAAGATCTTGATCATATTTCTTGAGCTGGTTCATGAACTCCAAGTGTTTCTTCTCCTCCTCCAACTGAGCCACACTTTGCTCGCTCTTCTGCAGCCGCTGCTGGGTTCCTGCCAGCTCGTCCCGCAGCCACTGGTTCTCCTGACACAGCCTCCGTACCTGTGCAACAGCAGCACTCAGATTCACAGCATTTTCACACTACAGCTTTTACACAAAATTGCTGACCCATGTTTTCAGCAGCCCTGGCTTGGAAAGTTCTTTACCTTGAAAAGGAAAATACTGAATAAATCCTTAAAACCAGCCAGCTCAGAGGTGATTACCCATATAATGACGTGTGATTTAACGCCAAAAAAGAACTTTAATTGTAATCCTTAAATAAAGAATTAAGTTTGAAGTCAAATGCACAGAAAAAAGCGTATTGTATCTTACTACACAACAATAGTGTGTTTGATGAACACCTGAATGATCAAATGTTTTCTTGAGTATTTAATATTTCAAGTGTATATTTTTTTTATATCTTGTACCTGGGCCCAATTTTGATAAGAAAAAAAATACATAAAATATTACACTACTTAATACACTACTGTACCCTGTAAATAAAGTTTGTAATATCAACAAAACAGATTGTAAAAAAAGTTCACAAAAAACATTAATTATTTATTTTTAGTTATTGAATTGTAATTGTAAATCACCAACATTTTTACTGCAAAATATCAGTAAGGGCGATTGTTCTGTTTTACAAAACGTTTGTCAACTACATTAATCGAAAGTTTATTATTCAGTCCAGTTCTTGTCACGTGACTAGCGTTGTGCTTGCAGCATTCTTTTTCAAATAGGTGTACCTGACAGTGGCGCCCCCAGAAAATTTTCTTAGGGGTGGCCAGAAGAGGCCACACCAAATCTTGGGGTGGCACACAAAAAATAATGAATTCAGTGTAATGTTATAATTTTTGTTTCTGGTAAATGAAATAATGTGGTTTTTACTCATTTATTTAATTCCTCTTGAAATATTGCAATTTACTCCTTGAAATAATTCAGCAACTGCATGTGCAAACCAAACCAAATAAAAATCAATATTCAGTTTAAAAACATTTTTCATATATATTAACATATATAATAATAATATAATCATATAATAATGCTAATAACATTTCAGTTATTTTATTCAGTTAAATTTTCAGTTATTTTTCCACATATCTTTATTGTACAGCATACAGTATATGCCATGTCTAAAACTAATGAAAATTAATGAATGAATAAATAAACAAACAAATTAACAAACTGAACAAAAGCCATTACTTTATATACACATGCTCACTATACAGACCCTTACAATATTATTTATACATATTCCTTTTTGAGCCACAATATTATTAATACAGCTTCTTCTTTTGATGTACCTAAAGGTAAATAGTAAATTGCCATTGCTGTTTAATGAAGGTCTGTGCATGTTGTCAACGACGATCGGGGAGGCAGAGAGGCAGTAAATCAGCTACATCAATGGCACCAATTAATGCACAATAATTTATTTATTGAAAAATTGTGAATTTATGCAAGTACATTTAAATTAAGAAAAAGTGTGTGCGTTGTGCTGCTAGCACTCTGCATGCACATTGCTCTCCTCTACCGGAAATAACGAACTTGCACGCTCAAAAGACATAATATGTGAACAGCCTAAGCCACAGTTAACCCAGTGTGTGTGGGTATAACTTTAAACTAGTACACAGTTGGGATGACTTTGTTTAGTTGTAGCAGTTTTGTTCCATGAAGAAACACAACGTTAACCCCCTGGGGTCGAAGACCGCGTATATGCGTTCTGACAACCTAAATTACACTTTCAGTTTTGATCGTACAGATGAGATCAAGACATCAATCGAATCTGTTAGGTGTCTAGTTTTCAATGTGTACACTCACAATGACAACAAACGGGTGCTTTTGCAAAACAAGGATAATAAACAGTGTAGGCAATCAGTCTTTTCTCTCTCCGTGAACTGTTTTTAGAAACGCGCCAGTAAAATGCTGAAAACAAATCACACAGACACGAGACACATATCTTTCGAAAGCTTGAAGTGTCTACTTTTAATTGCAGTGAGTGCATGTTAAAAACAAATATTGTTTGATAAAGTAATCAGTATGAAACCAATGCTATGTCTAGTTTCTCAGTCTGAGTTCATTAGAGTTAATGCTACCACGCCGGTGAGTCTTTGATATTACAAATAGCCTGCATGAGACACACGCAAGTGTGGACTGTCAGGAAAAACAAATGAACTGAAACTCAGCAAATACTTAACAAAGAAATATCAGAGATTTATCTAAAGAAAGCTTGATATGTCTACTTTTGCAATAACCAACTCAAGTTGAAAACCAATAATCTCTTTTCAAGTAATTAACTGATTATATTTATGTATATGTATGTACATGTATATGTATGCATACACACACACACACACACACACACACATATATATATGTGTGTGTGTGTGTGTGTGTGTGTGTGTGTGTGTGTGTGTGTGTGTGTGTGTGTGTGTATTATTATATGTACAATACCATAGGCTAGTGGTTATATTACCACAGCAACTATTGAATTAATAAAACAAATTATGTCAAGTACTTTACTAGACTATGGTTTGAAACAACTTGTTGACTATACATTACTAATAATGCTTTTCTTGCGAGTATGGTAAACTTATTTGTGGTTACTAGTGTTAAACTATAGTTTCTTTGTTATTTGCATTCTGTTCTCTCATCAAGTATGCATATGCTATGCTACTGTGAAAAATAAATACTGCCAGTTGTTTACAAAACAGCTTATATTCAGTTTATAATTTCTATGTGGTAACCAAGATTATTAGGTAAATTAGTACTAGTGTCAGTGAACAACACAGAAATGTTAAAAATGTAGTAATGTAATCAGCTAGCTTATTTTTAAAGTAGATTTGCTATGTGTAAGTTTATATAGTTTACAGAGTTTTATACAGTGTACTGACTCTCACAAGTGTATCTAGAGTTATTTTGTGTGATAGTAAAATATATTTTAAATAAACTGCAAACAAAAAATATATATATAAACTTATTTTTTTGTCAGATTTTCTCTTGAAATTCCTAGTGACATACCTGTCTGAAGGCTCATTATGCAGCTCATTATGCAGGTCTTTGTCTTCTCAGGTGTGACTCACTGCATTAGTATTGATAGCTCACGCCTTCTTGTATAGACCATTTTCACTCAGAAAGTGACTTAGAAATTTTAATTCATTATATTGTTTTCTGTGAGCAAGTAAACAAGATGTTTCTCACATCATTTTGAAGCAAAAACACTAGGCTACAAGATCCAGTTCTCAAAAGTGTTGTGAACAAATGTTCTTCATGTGTTTCACAGCCTTGTTTCAGTGACTTCGAAATTTTAGTTTTTCACTAACTACGAAAGAATCGCATAAACGTTTCTTTCTCAAAAGCACAAACATATACAAACATGCAGCTTGGGTATTATTGTAGCCCAGCTTGTGCTGTTTACAGTGTTATCACACTTTAGTCATTAATATGTTTTTAAGATACTGAAAACAACACAAATGTCAGTGTATGTCAAAACTTCTCCAGAGTCCCAAACACCCTCAGACCCCTGAGGGTTAAGAAGCCTTTGCGATTAAATAACGTGACAAATCAAAGCTAGGTTAATAGTGAAATCAGTTAATTGCTGCATCCCTGATATATATCCAATATTTCAGAATATGCTTTCAAAAAAAACATATTGGTCAATATGACTACATGAAACATGCTTAAAAAACCACGTTAAAGAAAAGTTGTGCTAATGGAAAGTAAAATTAAAAATGTCAAATGAAATTTCCTGATAACACTTGCAAAAAACATGAAATTCCCTGACATTCAATATCTGGAATAGGGCTTTTCTAATTCTATGGCCTTTGGGAACCCTGGAAATTTATGTAGGGTATTGGCTCTTAACTGATTTTATCTCATCAATTTAGAGTTTTGACTTTCTAATCAAAAACTGATGCATGTACACCACTGAACCGGAGAGCAGTTTAATTTTACATGCGATGCAGTGTCTTTGTGTGTGTGTATGCACCTGTGCTCGAAGCTTCTGTTTCTCTGCCTCCACTGCACTCAGATGCCCTGACAGAGCCATCATCACCTGCAATGAGCAATAACAGAAAGAAAGAGGGAGAGCAGCTATGTTACCATGTTGTCAAGCAAATTTCATCACATTTTGTAATAACTTCCACATCGTACCTGTGCTTCACTGAGGCCCAGCTCCAGCATCTCCATTGAGCGTTGGATCATTGCAGTCTTCTCCTCAACAGCACGCCCCTCCTGGCTCTGTTTGAGGCAGCGCAAGGTCCCCATCAGCCCCTCCAAAATGGCCTGATGTTCAGCACGGAGCGCCTCCAGCCCCTGCATGACCTCGCGCGTCCGACATAGCAGCTCATCCTGGGATAGCTTTTCACCGAGGTCCCCCTGGCCCTCCGTCTCCTTCACACACAGCACGCTCGACATATCCTCACGCATCCTACATAGAGACACATAACACAGATGTGAGGGAACGTTTCCAGTAAAGATTAGTTTGTTTTGTATAAATGAGTGCCTTTTCCTTCTTGTTCTTGTCCATTTAAACCATTGACAAATTACTCAAATCACTGTAACTGTGAGTGCAAAAAGTGTTATTAATTAGTAATTTTTTTTATTGATTAACTGCACTAATTTATATATTAGGCCTGTCAAATAATAAAAAAATATATAATTAATCATACTTTTTTGTAATTAATCATGATTAATCACTAAAAGTGATTAATCATGATTAATCACGAAACACCGTATTTATTGCAGAAATAAAAGCACAGGCATTAAATGGCATTTGAAATACTGATTAAGAGTCTACCATGTAAGCAGCAATTTTTGATTACCTTAAAGGAACACGCTAGTCCCGAAATTAGGTTTTTCTTTTCATTTGCCATGAGGTAACAAATTCCATTAAAACGTCCTGAATGAGAATATGCTGAATGAGAGTGAACTACTGAACTGCATTTAAAGTCTAAAGATTAAAAATGAAACACCCGAAATTGCATGAAACTGGAGGAAACGCAGAATAGCCTGGTGATGCGAGGTCAGGGGGATGCTCACTATTCTGCTGTCCAAGTCGGCCACATAGGTCATCTCTATGCATGCACGCACCGTCCCTGAACACACGTCGGCCACAACAGGAAATGAAAAAAAAAAAACTGCAACTGTAGTGTTGTATATTTATTTATTTATTTATAAGAATTAAATAATCGTTCATTAATCGTAATCGAATTAAAATCTTCAATTAATCAAGATTTTGATTTTAGGCCAAATCGCCAAGCCGTAAGTGCAGTACACCTTAATCAAACTATTACCATTTTGTAGGATTTTCGCTGTTTTGCAACATGGTATTCCACCACACACTGGTGTTTGACACTATTATCTGCACCTACCAAGTCAGTACCACAGACACCTGCATCACGAATTGCAAAGTTTTTTTTTTTTTTTCAAATTCCATTAAAACAACACTTTTTTTTGTATTTACAGCAGTTAATACTCGCATCCAATATTGCTTGTCCCATAGTCACAGGGGCATGCATGAAATGTTCCTGAATGAACGTGAAAGTGCCAAACTGCAGTTAAAGTAAAAAATTTTTTAAATGAAACACCCAAAATTACATGAAATGTAGATAGCGTGGTGACACAATGTCGTTAATCAAACTATGTACTATAACATGTAAAACAGAATAATAAAAGGAACTTTCAAAAAGCAACTGATGTTAACACCTTAATCATATTATTCTCTCATTCATATTAAGGCTAATAATTCGGTTACTGATGTCCATGTAAATGTAGTCATTGTGATATCGATGTTCAAACGATAAACCATATTGTTCAGGTCTAAAAGACAGATATATAAGGCTGTCACCTGTCATTTGGAAAATTCAAGCACTCAGTGTATTGAGAAGGATGCAGTTTTGTTTGTGCTTTACTGGTTGATAAATTTCTCAGACAGACTAGATTTTAAACTTTTTGATCAGACCCTGGGATCATTATTTAATAGTTAGAGAGCTGTCTAAAAGTAATGAAAGTATTTAAAACATACATTTTATGACATACATACAGTATACTAATGTTACTTTAGTCAAACTATATTTTTTGTTTATAAACAATGAAAAAAATATTCATTTAAAAATTATGCCTTGTCATGCAGAAATTGCTTTGGCACACAATCTCTCAAAGTGCATTATGTCTATATTCAACGCTCTCTCACAGCAATTCGTAACTTTTTGGTTTAGTGAAACAATACCATCTAGTACAATTTGCTCATTCCCCAATGATGGTTGGGTTAAGGGGTGGGGCCACCCCTCCTTTTTAAAATAATACACTTTTATATAAATGAATTTGTACAAACTATCCACTACATTGACAAAACGTAAAAGAGTTATGTTTCCTCCTGAGATCACGCTGGTATTTTCAATCTGTTGAGTCTACATGGGCTGTACACTTGCTATGCGGTGCGTTGTGGGATTGAGTGCACTTCAAAAATTCAACTGGTTTTGGACACCCCTACAAATGGCTGCTTTTTTTCAATAGTGAACTATTTAAGGGTATTTGGGAAGATTTTGCATCTGAACACAGGTCGTGAAATTGAAGACTCCTGCTACAGATGTGCAAAATGTGCAGTGTTGGAAAGTGGAGCTTCATATCCTTTTTTAGTTTCCACTAGTTCTTTGATGTTGGTTTAATGCAGGAGTATCCAACCTCACACACTAATTAAACACACATAAACCAACCAAGTTATTCAGGTTCATTAAAAACGTCCAGACAAGTCAAAGCTGAACTTAGGACAATGTCCCTCCAGCAAAAGGACAGAACATCCCAAGTTTGTGTTTGAGAAACCAGGTGAAATCATAAGGTGACATCTCTAAGAAAGGCAACAAGTTTCTTCCCAGCAACCCACAATGATGTTTTTTTAGCTGGCATTTTATACTATATTTCAGGGTTTATTCAAATCACTAATTTTAGTATGAAAAACAAAAGGATGCTTGACTTGGCAAACACAATGAACACTACATTTTAAAATAACACTAAAAGACAAAAAGCAAGTTCACTCAGAGAAGCAATTAGAATGCAAACCCTCTTCAAGAATCTGAGAGGCTTCTGACTCTTCCCAGCCTGACACACGGACACAAAGCAGCTGTCTTTGCTGTTGCCAAGACACAACTCACCTGGTAAGGCAGTTCACGGTAGCCAAGACACTTAAGCACACTTGAATTTCCAAAAAACAGCAAGAGGAATCTGAGATTGTTGCCCTTTCAAATGATGTACATCCAGCCTACAGTGAAAATAATGGTAAAGGCCTTTCATTTGAAATAAACACGTCTCCACAGATTTGTTCTCTCTCATGAAAACAATCGCACATCTACTCCCTGCAATTATGATATAAAGAGAAGCAGATCTATGTGCTGCTCCTAAGCTTCGGGTTTGTGCTCTATTCCTGTGGGAGGGGAAATAGGAAGTGAGGCAGCAGATTCATGTGACCCATAAGTAGTTCATCATCTGCCATGTGACAAGCACTGGGCAGGAAACACCAATGTATGATGGGAATCAAAGTACTGAGATTCTGCTGCACATGCTGATAGGTCACAGCTAATTTGCTCCAGCGCCATTAACTACATAGCAGAGGAGAGAGGTTGCTGTCACCTCAAAAGGCAATGAGCTTTCTCCTAAGATTTTCAAATGTGACATGCTGCATCTGAAATTGCCTACTACTTGAGCAGGTACTGCATTTGAATTAGAATTTACTACACGATTGTTAGAAAAGTATGTTTTATAGAGTATGAATGGAACTCGGACGTTCTACATCTGCCATTTGTCATTATCATGTGACTTACCCACATCAGTTTCACTCCCATTAATTAATTCTCATGTGGCATCATGGGATACTGTAGCATCCATCGGATGCACACTTCAGATTCTCGCTGGTTGTGTAGGTCACCTAGTAACCTCTCACATACTGTTTGTAGAATACTATGAATTTGGACGTTACTCAGCACTTTTTCAAAGATCCTCCTCCACCCCAGCTCCACTGGTCTTTAGATCTGCTAACATATAACATCTGGGTTACAAATACAGACTGCTTGTCTGTGAATAGGTCATTCTAAATCGCTCCATGTGAAAAACGCATAAGATGGCATAATGTACCTAAACATCAACCAGAGAAACTTTACTTGTAATTAACCCTAACTACTATAAAAAGAACAAGCCCTTATTCTATACATAAAGTGAATATTAAGTGTTTTCAACCAATTAAAGTTCAAGGAAAAAGCTTAACAACAGGGGAAACTAAAATTCTATCAAAATTCACTTGTAATTAATACTAATTAACATAAAAAAGCTCATTCTGATTCCATAAAGTGAACAATGTCACGTTAAGCATTTTATTCCGATAAAGTCTATGATTTAAATTAACAACAAACGGTGAGAAATACATTTATATAGGAATATACTCATGATAAACACATTCTGCTATCAAAAGAACAGGCTCCTGCTTGCATAAAGTGAACAAATTCCCTTTAAACATTTTCCCCATAGAAATCCATTATAAGACAACAGCCTAACATGGGTTAATATACCTTAACACCAACCAGGGAAAGGAAAACCCACATTTCTGTCAAAGTTTTCTTGTGATTAACAATAACCATTATCAAAAGAACGGGCCCTGATTGCATAGATAAAGTGAACAATATCACGTTAAGCATTTTCTATTCCATTAAAGTCCACAATAAGGAAAGGCTTAACGTAACAAACAACACAAAGAAAAACACACTTAAAAAAAATGCCGTTCATAAAATCTAATTTTACTTATGATAGATTAAACTTTTTATGCTGTCAAAAAAACGTGCTCGGATGCATGCAGTTGGCATCCCCAAAACAATAGAGAAGAATGTTTAAAATAATGTTCTGGATAAAATGTAAAGTCGGAAAGATGTATTTGCAGACCCAACAAAATAGAAAAAAATAAATAAATGTCAAGAAACACTTTGGAATTGTGACTCCCACAACCAAGGGTTCCCAGTGCTATCCTTTTGTGATTGCATTGACAAGGTTAAAATGATGCCATAAACATGTGCATACAATTTCCAGTTTCCTAAAATAAAAATGCAAAAGGAAAATACCTAAATGAATGAGATCATATAAGGACATAAAAATTTAAAAACTTTACATGCCTGAATGCATCCTGCTGAATTACAAATGATAACAATCAATGATTTATTACAATGAGAAGAGGATGGGAAAGAAAGTGCTAGAGATTATGCTTATGACTGTATAACATTTTCTTGGTGTGATTAATTGCTGAAGTTTATATCGCAGCATACATTATCATCACAATATTGAAAAAAGTCGCAAAAAATAGGTATATAACAGGTATAATAATTATGAAATAATACTTGTGCATTGCTTTACTGTAAAAGAGAGAAAAATATCAGAATTATTAGCATCCTT